GAATTAATTTTACAGTTGGTTTCTTTTGAGAATAGGATTTTCAGTAAAATCCATTGTTGCATTTGAGCTATAGCCTATAAGGCCATGTGGGTTTTAGGTATAGTTAATCAACATGCTTGCTGAAAAAAGTGTTCATGGAATCTAGTTGGCAAGATCTGTCTCTGAATTGAAACCCTTATCTTTTTGTCAATATTGATGGTTGAATAAGTATAATTAAATTGATAAGCCCTCAACAATATATCATTAAATGCAATTTTACTTATCTTTGACATGCATTTAGAAGAAAATTAACCATGCCTCAGCCTATTGTTTGAGATGGTTTTGTGATTAAAAGTAGACCCTGTCTCAATGAACAAAAAAAAATTGGAAAATGGGTATTGTTATAGCCAACCTAGCTCTGTTTGCCTTTCTATATGAAATGTAAATATTGTTCCTGTGCGATACTCCAATGACTTTTAATTTCTTTTCAAATGAGGGTTGGATTATCTATAAATGTGTATTCTGGCTTGGCTACTCATTACTGGGTAATTTCTACGGAGAAAGAGAAATTTTTTTTTCCATCAGTGCTCTCGTTGGATAATGCTTGCGGATTTTGGGTGAAAAATGTCAGATTTTATCATCGTGTACAAGGGACGCTGGTTTAAATCTCTGCATGAGAATCGGTGGTCAAAAAGGTGTGTTAAAAATTTTACCAGAGTAATTTTTCTTATAATAATGATAGTTAAGGATTCTTGCATAAAAAGAAAATAGAATTTAAAGTATTCGTATGTTTCTTAAAATAATATATGAAATATTTTATGCCCCCCTTTGAAGAAGGGAGGGCATATCATTTTTTCTGCTGTCTGTCTTTTGGGCTGTTGGTTCACCAACAGTTTCTATTTTCTTTGCAGAGGTTGCATTTACTGAAATGAAACTTGCTACACAGGTTTATCATAAGAATATCTAAGTCAAGTTTTGTTTTAGGTATGATTGCGCTATTTTTGACAGAGTTATGCCCCTTGGACTTAGAGAGAAAAATTCCAATAATTTGCAGTTTCCTTTCATTTTCTTTGCAGAGGTTGCACATATTGAAATGAAATTTGGTATACAGATTTATCATAAGAATATCTAAGGTCACGTTCTGTTTTGGTTATGATCGGACCATTTTGGACAGAGTTATGCCCCTTGGACTTCCAATTATTTGGGAGAGGGGGGCATAAGTGTTTTCACAAACATCTCTTGTTACTAATATGTTATATTATTTAATTACATGTAACTAGCATCTCACAAGTGAAATTGCCTATTTAATATCAAAGATTCATGAGTTTGTTCTTTAAAATCTCATACAAGAATTTTTCACTCATATGGGATGTCACCAAAATCCCAGTGAAAGGCTTCAAATTTAGAATATTTGGAATAATAAAGGCTTTTTCTTATGCCATTGCTTACCATGTCACAGGACCTACATTTTTTTTTCAAGGTGATTCCCAAAAAGCCTGTGACTTTCACTTCTAATGCTAAATCCCTGGCAAAGTAACAGTCACTCTCCATGTTGTATGTCTTATGTTTGATGCAGGCCCAGAAATGAGAATCTTACCACTGGTTTTAATATTTTGACAAATGAATAGATTATTAAACAACATACAAAAAAATGAGGTGGTGTGAGATACACAGTGCAAAAGATAGAAGTACATGTACATGTACTTGGATACTTTCAGTTGTCATACATGTATCAAATGTGGGGTCCAAAGGTTTTGGCTCACATTGCAGTTCTGCAGCATTTTACAACAGGATGGGGGTATATTTTTGGGGTTCAGGATTCAGCAAGACCAATAATTTGCTATTGCTCATGTCCATCTTACATCATAGAACTCTTGTGATTTAGGTGTTTTCTCACAATATGACTTTAAAAAAAATTTCTCACAAGACCTTCTTCTCATAAGAACAGGCAAATGACTGTTCTAGAGAACTTGCACTTTGATGTAAGATTTAAAAAGATTCCAAAAAATTGATTATATTTACCATAGGATAACAGAATAATTACATAAAAAGAATATGACATGTTGAGTGTTTGTATTATGTGATTAATAACTTTCTAAATTAACAATGGACACAATGTGCTTAGTGAGAATTTTTACCCAAAGATAAATACTTTAAAATATTGATAAGTAAACACCTTCTCTTCTCTCTTCAAATTGATCAAAAAGAAATTGAAGTTGAGACAATTCCCTACTTCTGTATTTTAAACAAAAGTAAAACATCAAAGACATGATGTACAAAGGAACTGTCATGAAAAGTAATTACAGAGTTGTAGACAGGGTAAATACTGCTGATAGACATTGGTTTCCACTGTAGAGGGTTGGATTTGTCAGTTTAATCCCCCCATTTAATCTGATTTTCTGAGGGCTTATTACCCTGGCTTGACAACCTGTCTGGTACTTGGTATTCTTTTGGTGCACATGCTTTTGGTAGGGGGTAGGGGTTTTAAAAGTCTGCAAAGATGGAGAAAACTTCAAACGTGGTTCCATATCCCCAGGACCCCCACCCCAACACCATCTAGCAAAATTAATTGTAATGGGGAATTTTGAATGCTTGTTGTGAGGGGATGCTTGTTGATAAGCAGTGTTGGTTTACCTAGCTCATATCAAGTAGACAAGTAATCTATAACCTTTTAAACAAGATTTAAAGATAAATTAACATAAGTTTAATCTTTTTAAATTGCCTGAGTCTCTTGTAGAATCTGTCACTACTGTAATTGATAATGAATGGCAGGCTCACTATTAGGCATCCATGTAATAGTTATGCCATTTTTTGGTCAAAGAATTATTATAAAATATATAAAATTTGATGATGATGTGACTGATGTATCAGAAAATCTGATTTATATGAATTTTGTTTGTTTGTTTGTTCTTTAACATATCTCAGTTTATGGGCTCACCAGAGGGATCAGTGACTCCATGTTCCACAGTGGATTCAAACCCGCAACATTGGGATCAGCTCCCTATCTTGCAACTCTAGAGACTACGCTACACAGACTCTGAATTTTTTCCTTAATTTTAAGGAAAAAACTCTTTGAAGCAAAAGTAGCTCAGAATGTGCATTTTCTTGACCCTTACGGTATGATGAGGCATAAATATGGTTGCAAAGTTTGAATAATACATGGAGTTTAGAAATACATTGTAATTAAACACAAAAGATAATTGCTTTAAAAAAATCTCTTGGAGAACAACGTGGCCAAAGCAAATAATTTTTGTAATCATACCAATTTTCTAACAGAAGATGAAATTCAAACAATTTCCTGAATACCTCATGGGACATATTTGAGACAAATCATAATGGCAGATTGTAAAGAAAAGAAAGTCATTGATTAACTGTAAGTCTAGAGTTATCTATCTTGATTTGCAAGGCCAAACCACCTTAAAATTTTCATATATTAGCACAGATGTCATAATAGCACACATATGTTATTGTGCAATCTGCAATATTCTTTCTATAATCTGGTTATTGATCTGTATTAGATTCAAGTGTTATCAGAACAATTTTAGCTGTCAAACTTTTGTACCGAGCCCAATCAAAGAGAACCAAAAACTGGACCTTTAAACAATTCTATCTTCCGAAGTAAATTTTGGACAGGTCCCCTTAAGGCCAAGTGCAGGTTTCCAAAGCTTATAAGATCTTCCAGGTTTTAAATAGCCTATTATGTTACACTTGTGAGTGTGTTGTATTTGGATTTTAACCAGATTTCCTTGTTTAGTTTCTGATTGAGATTAAGGCATTAAGCTTTCTAATACTTTGCATGTACAGTACATGTCTGACTTGGGTGCTGAAATATCGACAGTATGGCGTTTTGTGAGGATTAATTTGAAATATTCGTCGGGGTGTTTTTGTGGTTGATTAGAACAAAACAAAGGGAAAATGAAGACCAGTATTATGATACATTTGCCTCAGATAGCCATGTGCGAAGAAGAAATATCGAGTTACAGTAATGACTCCATGTAAAGTTTGATTTTAATTCATTTTAAATTTTCTCTTTATTTTATTTTTTTAAATGAATTTTTTATTCATTTTTTTCAAATTTTTAGTTTATGGATTTTATTTTAGATGCAATACTATTGTCTTTTGTTTGAAATCATTTATTGTAACTATATGCTGCTGGAGAAAATAAAATTTATTTTTCAAAGAACATGGGCAAATTAGGTGTCGGAAATGCCCATAACAATCAAATTCAGTTTGTGATTATTTTTTAAGAGCAAAATTCTTATTATTGAAACTGATTAGATTTTAACATATGCCAATTTTTTATTGTAGGAAAAATTTTTTGCTCAAAATTATATCATTGTTAAAAGTCCAGAGTATTAGTTATGTTTTATTTTTTCTTGGAGACTGACATGTTTACCACTTTGCCATATGCAATTCTTAACTGCTACTGGCATTTAAATCTTTTTTAGGCTATGATCCTTGAAAAAATAACCTTCAAATATTTTGGGGAGATACAAGTATTATGCCAAATGGGTCCTTGTTTCATGTTTTTAATACCAGTATTCATGTATCTACTTTGAAGAAATAGAGTGAAGATCGACCCATCTTATGATAAAATTGTGTTATACAGTATGAAATCATTATTACAATATTTTTGCCCTATTTTTGGTAATTGTAGGGATCTGATTTAAAGAATTACATTAATTCTAACAAATGTATCAAAGAAAATTTTATAAATTATAATTAATATTAATTTTTGTTTGCCAAATAAAAGACATCTTTCTTAGGTTATTAGCCCATTTTCTTTGCACTGTGACTGGTGGAGATGGGAAATGCTTTGTGTGAATAATTTATTTTAATTCAACTTAACCTGCTAATAAATTGTGATTTCATCAACTGTTAACAGTATAAGCTTAGTTAAATATAAAACATTGATGCTGATAAACTGACATACTGTGTAGTCCAAATACATGTATGTTATCACTGGAGCACCACATTAAAAAAATGATCAAATCTAAACTTTTAATTTTTTTATTTTTCAGAAACACGTCTCGTGTTCCTTCGGAGTCACGGGAGGCGATGTATAGGAGAGCTATGCATCTGATCACGGCACGCTGTACCAGTACCGCCCCGGGAATGGAGACCCCCTACGGAACAGCCAGGACGTCTCCTTTTGGGGTACAGGTCCCCCAGTATTTCTACATCAGACAGGAACGCCCCACCCCAATGCCACCACTGAAGGTATATAGTGGAAAGTCTTATTTTTTGTAGAAATCTTGACGTGTTCAAATTGGGAAAATAAGCATCCAATAGGATTTATATCTATTTACATGACACTTCCTCTATCTGATGACTCTTAGTCTGACAATTTCTTTTGTGTGAAGAGATTATTTCATTTATGATTGGAAATATGTAATAAATGTATTTGTCATTACATGTATTTAATTAAAAATGACTTATGACCAGTTCAGTAAAGAGATGGGAATGGTATAAAAACTTTGCATGATTTCAAATCTGTTAAAAAATTATTGTTTTCAAATGTGTCCAGCATTTAACGTTGTTACAGTGTACATGTAATCCCATTAAAACAGCTCTTTCTAGAATTTGAAATGAAGGTATTTGTAAAGGACATTTAAAACTGTGTTCAAATGAGAATATCGACAGCTTTTGAATTGAATTTTTTTGTTCCTTCTTGAAATGAGACAGAACTGATAATTTTGGAGATTGTTTAACACATGCTGATAAAGCATGCTATTTGTAGACTATTTGCATAACCATTTTTTTTCTTTTACAGGCATGGCAAGGTTACAATGGCAATGTGTACTTTGAACCGATTCAAATCTCCAGTCTTCGAGAGCTTCCTGAAAAATCAAACAACCCGTACGAGACCCGATCTTCGAGTGATCTTCATCGCATGCTGATGTCACAGCAACAGTCCAGGCCAGAAAGTGACGCGATGCGGACGACGTCCAGAAACACGGCTAAAACTGGCAGTAGTCAGAAAAGTAATCGTCCGAGCACCACCAAACAGGTGGTCTTGCTGGACAAGAAAACAGTGCTCAATCGATATAATGACAGCTTGAATGATGATCTTGACGTCATCGAGGGGACGGAACACACGGGGAGTCTCTCTGTACGACCAAAAAGTGACAGAAGCTTTGACCGAAGGTCCCAAAACAACAACAACAAAGTTTACAACAAGGAGAAAATCTGTAAGGGTTCTGTGGTTCATAAGTTAAATGTGGCAAACAAGCAACATAGCGGACGGCCTGTGTTAAAAGTGAGTGGCGGAAAATATTCCAGTCCTCCCAATACGTCTCCGTTACTACGCACGCAAACCCAGTACTCTCTCAGTAACCAAAGACTGACTACCAATAGTCCCGACATGTACAGCCAACAGTTGTTACCTCCCCTGGAACAGCTGCGATCGGCGGTCAGACACATGGATACCATTAGTAAAGACAGGGTGGGATTCAGTCGAATTCGACCTGTGACCTATACGGAGGAATTCAAGCCTTTCATTAAATATAATCAAGAAGCAAAACAACAAACAAATTTTGTATGACACTGTGTCATTTTTCGTCAATATTTTTCTAAAAGCGTCCTCGTATTGACCAAAAGGATCAAAGACTTCCACTCAAAGTACATGTTCTGTGATTTTGCATTTATCTCTGTTTTCGTTGTGTTCTGTTTTGCAAGGATTTCAGATTTGTTGAACTCCGTCCTAGTTCTCTGACAGGAAGAGAAAAGTACGAGGTTTAGTAAAATTTATGTTCAGATTAAGTTAAAACCCTCCAAGACTGTGATGTTATATAATGAATAAGCTTCTTTAGCTTTTATGAAGATATTTAAAAATATTTTTATTAGATAGGTGATACATCTATTCAAACTTGGAATTAGAGTCTCTATTTTTTGATATATATTTTGAAATTGATTCAAATTATTTAAACCTTAAAATTTCAGCTGACATTATAATCTTGTAAACATTATTTTGATATGCTTTAGAAAAGTAAAATGTAGATAAAATACTGAGTACTTTAAATTTAGAACACTTTGCCGGATCTGACTTCTGTAACACTTCTCCCCCCTCTTTTATTTTTATAGCTATAAAAAAGACATACAATTCTATTCAATAATTTTGAAACCAAATTTTTATTCACTGAAGTCAAAAAAAAGTATGTATTTAAAGAGAAGAAATCAACATGCATTGTAATAAAAAGTGGGGGGGAGGGAGATTCCACAAAATGGTGTTTTCTTTTTTTAAATTGTGTTGTTTCTGGTCATGATCAAAATCTTACTCAGTTTTATTGGAAAAAAACTTAGAAGGTTTATGTTTTTGCTAATGCCTGCGCTGTAAACGCTGAAGAACTGAAGTCTTTAAAATACATGTACTTCAAATTCAGCTATCCAATTTACATGTTAAAATCTGTCAATGCGTTTGACCGAACAGTATGGATTTAGTTTTTCTTTTAAATTTAATTTACAAATGCATTTTTTAAATTCCATTGTATGATATACATGCTCCAATAATTCACCCCATGTCTTTAGCACATTGATGGAACATTCTTCATAGTGTAAAGTTTGTCAACAGTTTAGAAAAATATTTTGCATAAATTAAGAAATGTACCTGTAGTTTTTCCTAAAAAAAATTCAAGAATTTAAACATTGAAGCTTTTTTATTCATACATATAAATTTTGTATGCATAAGCATGAGCAGGCAGTCTCTATTTTTGCTCAACAAAAAGAGATTGGCATATACGTCATATTTAAATGTGCATGTTGTTGATGTTAAAAAGCTAGAATGTTGACATTTCCAAAAAATTATCTTGAAAAATAAACAAGATATGCTTCATATGTTTGTGTTGTACTGTTGATATGTACTTGAAGGGATATGGCTGGTAGCTATGCTAGTAAAATATATTACCGGTATATAAATTCTTGTAATGCAGGATTTTCTTCCCCAATCACTTATGACAAACCTAAATCAGGGCATATAACTTGGAAAAACATAGTTGTGTTTAAGAGGTAGGTAACTATAATGCTGTCATCTCATCTCAAATTTGCCTACTTGCAATGAGGACTGAATAAAACATGGCAAAATTTTTCAGGCTTACCCTGTCATCAGCAACTATTGGTGCATTTGAAAGATACTGGGCAAAACTGGAAGAAACCAAGTAATGTAAAATTGACTTTTGGATTATGGCATCCCTTCCCACCAAGATGAATATTCAAATGATGAGTTAACCAAAAATAGCCACAATTTTACATAAGTAAATTTGTTCTTGCACACATCCCTACACTATATATCAACATATTTTTACGACAAACCCTGTTTTTACATTGTAGGGGAGTATTGATTACTTCATTTCATTGGAAAATTACAACCATCTACTATATGTATTGTTGAACGATTACACTCTTTAGTTTACACAGTTCTCAGAATAAATTTATTTCCATCTGTTTTTAAAACATTTCATACAAAATATTTAAAGTATCAGTATTGGTATTTAAGTCCTTACTATAGGAAAGGGTTTTTCTTCTTTCTTCATGAATGTTTTTTCTAAATTATATAATTAATCCTGAAATATTAACAACAAACACAAAAAAATTCCAAAAAATCTATCATCACAATACAATAGCAGTTCATATTTATTAATAATACAAAATAAATTATCACAGAAAAGATGGACGGATAGTAAACGTCTATTTAAGTCCGTTAACAATTTAGTACAACCTTAATTTGTTTTAAAAATTGTAATCTCTCAAAAACTTCAGTCACAAAGTAGTCTTAATTTCTGCAGTCAAAATTGACAAAGGAGCCACATGGGCCATTAAATAGTCTAAGTGCTCTTTAGGAAGAGGGCGGCACCACACTGTAGCCACAGTCCTTGGTTACCACCACACGGGACATCCATACGAGTTACGATGTGGTCCCTCTCACTGCTGGTGTACACAGGGATGGAAATCACATCATCTAGGCCATAGGGATCGGGTGCATCCTTAAATAATATTTTGTAATGTTTTGTATTATTCTAAGAAATGTGGATTATATTTTTTGAAGTTAATTTTAATACTGGTAATTTTGGAATTGAAAATAATTCATACTACAAAAAGACTCCAATGTAAATTCTTTTAAACATATGAACAAATCTGCATAGTAAGTTCTGAAAAATTATAGTATTTTACAAATCTTTTCATTCAGGTTATGCCATTAAAAATATATACAGTGTCAATCTTAAGATAAAACAACCACAGAACTGATTCTAGCCTTAGGGTAAATGTTAGAAGAAAAAAATCACATGATAGGGAACTTACTTTTGGTATCCAGGCCACATGACACGGGGGGATTGCTGACACACTGGGGGAGTCCCTCTGGTTCTCTGAGAGTCTGGATCCATCAAAACTGCAGCCCTCCAGCTGTAGTCCCCCTATCTTCACCTGGGTCTTAGCCCCCTGTACCCCTCCCCTCCAGCTGACAGCAAACTTCAGACTGTCCATAGAACAACCCACCTCTCTAAAATGGAAAGTTCATCATAGTTAGCTTACTGGCATATATTAGAGGACCTCAAATAATTCATTCAAAATATTGTGGAATCATTTTAATTTGTTGTGGTCAATGTTCATATCCAAGAAAAATTTTATTGGTTCAAAAGCACATAATTTCCTGGGTTATTCTTATACAGGAGATTCAATGAATAAATATGCAGAGAAAAGAATTGTTTGTGGGGATGTAAATTCATGGATAAAAGTGACCAACAAAATCCGTGAACTTTGGTCCCCTATGAACATTACTGATTCCACAGTTACTTATTCTAAGATAATTGGGTTGAATAATGCTTCAATTATTAAATTTCTCATCCTCAGTACAAAAGGAGTACACAGTACCTAGCTGTCTGCTGTCTGAGAGCATTGAGGAAAGTGTCTGGGTGGAACAGTTCAGACAGGTCTAGTGTGTCCCTCAATAAGGTTCCATGGTCAGCCTTGTCCACCCAGGTCTGTATGGCTGTTGCTCTACTGACCAGTCCCCTCAGGTACTGCATGGGGTCCTCAGGGCCATCCCACTTAGACTGCCAGTTCAGGGGGGTCTAAGGAACAAAGAAATATACATGTACACACAGTAAAATAAAATATCTGGGAAGGAGAAATTTCTTTTAGTTTCCATTCATTCAGAACATTTTTGTAACAAATTCAGTAGATTGCATCATGATAATAAACAAGATTCATGGATTTATTGTATTTTTATCAAAATGTAAATACCGGTAAGCTTTTTTTTTTGTATTTTTTGGCTCACTTTTTTGACTTTCTAACAAAAAGTTTTAGATGAAGTCTATTATTACCTCCTGATTCAGAAGAGCTGCTGCTAGGTCTTGCACCTCCTTGGTAAGTAACATGGTTCCTCTGATAATCTTACTGAGAGCGGCCAGCGATTGGTGGATACTCTGGACCAGCTTGATGGCATTATACTGCTCCAGTTTGATAAAAGAGATGATGGGAGCCTCCTGGCCTGTTTTATCACTAGGAGGTTTGATTTTGGAGTTGATCAGCTGAGAGCCCTATAAAATGGAAAAACAGAGGTTTTTTAACTATATTATTTAAACTGATGCTGGCATCAAACTATCAGTATAAATTTTGTAAACTGTTGCATCTTTTGGTATACATAGCAATATGAAGAAATACTCCACTTTAGGCTACATGCAAGTAAAATGAAATGTCAGGAAAAATTGAAGAATTTGAATTTTTCACACAATTTTGCATTTTTAAAAATATTTTTTTGTAAAATAAAAAATTATTTAAATTGTGAACTTTGATAGATCACAAATTATATGAGATAAAACTTACTTGATTAAGCTTCTTCCACAAGTTAAGCACAGGTCCAAGTTCTGTGGCCCAGATTTCTTTATCAAACTTGTTGGCCTTGGCATCTGCCCTCTGCAATACCTTGAGTTGACCTATGACCTGTCCACTTATTATTCTTTGTGCTGACCTCTCAATGTTTTCTGGCAAGCCAAAGTATGAAGGTTTGTCAAATTCTGGAAGCTCATCAATGGCCTCAATATAATCCTGAAAGTCAATAAATAAAATCTTTGTACATTCTTTTTTAAATTCCTTATTGACAATAACACACCTATTATTGACTTGGTCACATTTAAGGTAAAATGTTATTGTTAATTATCAATTATAACTCTGTAAGACTGATCCTTGCTTACAACAGATATTGAAATGAACATTAAAATACTTTTTAACCAATATAGCTCAGCCTACCCTAAAATTAGTAGATGTTGGCAACTTCAAAGGTCCTAATCGCTTATTTCTGCCTTGAGCCAACATGTTAGCATCAAAGTACTGCTTAAGGTATGACACCATAACTCGTAGATCAAATGGATTATCCACTCTACCACCATAGATAGCAAACTCGTATAGACCATGAACAAACTTCCATTCCTGGTCATTTCCTGAAGGACAAAAAAAAAATCAAAACAATAAAATAAAATGAGATAAAACTATCTGAAAAAAAATGTCTGTGATACACTTCTCCAAAATTAATTTATATCAACTGATATGAACATCTCTCCATTAAAGCTTAAAACCAGAGAAAGTACAGATCAACCAAGAGCAGACAACTTCACAATTCTAATTTGAAAGTGTTCAAATGTCACGCAATAAGTACTTGACAAGAAAAAGTTACCTGTTTTAATTAGTCTGTCAATAATGTCTGCACCAGCCCTCAAATCTGACAGTGAGAACTCATAAAACTTTGTCCAACCCTTTAAAAATAAGTTGTTTCAAATTACTTTTGTCTAACAATTATCAAGTTTCAAACACTGAAAATGGACTGCAGTGTTCTGCACAAATTGTGCTTTACGATTATGAAATTATAATTTTTATAAATTTTTATCCAATAAATCCTCTATTATGGTATGTAGTGCATGCAAAATGCAGTTACCTGTGGGATGTACATTCTGCGTTCCTGTACCACAGCATGGAACCAGGCCAGGGCAAACAGAGCCTGGGCCCTCAGGACACTGCCGGTCTTACTGATGTACTCAGGGCTCCAGGACTCATAGGTTCTCATCAAGTTTCTCTTTACTCCGGGGGGAGCCTAGTCATGTACAAAAGAAGGATCAATTTTACACTCTCAAATAATTTTTTTTCCAAAAGATAATGGTCTAGGTTGAATTAAATTTTAATGTGGAAAAAATTATTCCTTTGAAAGATATTGTCTTCATGTTTGTTGCAAAACATATACCGATAGCATTTACTTTTCATATTTTCATACCTCATAAGTGATTTTCAAGCTGCTCTGTAGGAGAATTGTGGGGAATTTAGGATGCACTTCTGCAGTCATCCAGAGTCTGAAATCTTCATGTGGCTTCAGTGTGTTAATTTCCTAAAAGCAAGAATTTAGTTACTTTAAATTGACAGAATAAACATGGAAAAATCTTAACATTAGTCTAAAAATTCCAAAAATACTTTCAAGGAAAGAGGTAATAAGGGATACCTTTTCAAGCTGAGGAAGCCAGGCTGTCACAAGATGGAGGTTCTTCAGACACAGCCATTCTCCATTCTGAGCACATTCCCTCAACAACTGCATAGCGATGTCAGATTGACCTTGACCCATAGCAACCTGCAAAAAAAATTGTTCTACTGAGAGAGAGAGAGAGAGAGAGAGAGAGAGAGAGACCAATTATGTTCATAAAATTCAATTAAAACATTTTTCACTCATGGTCAAGGTAAAACAACACTGGAAATTGAATTCAGTTACAAACCTGGTGGTATTTGTCGCCACCTATAGTCTGAGCAGCCAAGTCCTGTAACTCTTGTGAGGGGTCAGCGCCAGGGGAGATAATGATCAGAATAGGCTCTGATGGCAAAGTCTCTGTCTCCAGGAGCCGCTTGAGATTCACAGAAGGGGGAGAAAGCTCCTTCATTCCTAGAATATTTCAACAACTATTTTATGACCAGTAATGTAAACTAAATTGTAGGCTAAAACTGTTTAGTCAAAGGGAGATAAAAGATAGGGAAAGTAATAACTGGATGAAAACAGAAGATTTATAATAGTGGATATCTAAGTCTGCAAACTAATGCAACCTCAGTAACTTTTTGCTTGATTTACCTTAAGGCATTCACATGAGAACTATGTTCAAGATCTTCATCAAATCGTAACTGTAGAAAGCATGGTGCAGGAACTGGTAAATTGCTTATTCTTTATATGGTAGTGTGTACCTAACTCACAAAGACACTTACCTAAAGCCTTGCAGGCAAACAGTCCCATGGCGGTCTGTAGCCTGTCTGGTCTGACTGCCTGGACTACCAGTAACTGCTGGAATAGAGTGACCCGCTTCTCGATCACCGAGGGGAACTCCTTCTCACACTCGTTACTGCGGGAGAAGTTAGACCACAGAGACCCATCATCAAAGTTCAGCACCTGGTACAACTTAGGGAAATTGTTCTGTAACAAATATTTACATTTTGTTTAAAAATGAGAACTTTTGTGTTTTGAGAATCACCCTTCCCCCTTAAATTGAGGTCAGAAAATTAAACTTGACCAGTTGCTTTCATTCTGGACAAATTTGTTTAAGAAACTAATTCAAGAGAGAGAAAAAAATTCTAATGCTTCACCTTCTAGTGAATAGAAAAAAGAGGCTTGCTCAACACAGCCAAAATTTCTGTTGGAGGGATAAAGAATTTTGGTGAATGCTTGTGAACATTCACTCAGTTGAACAGGCCTCTGGTTTACCTTGAGATTGGTGACAGCAGTGTGCCTCTCCTGATCCACCCAGGAGGGTAATCCCCGGCCCCCCTCCGACTTCACATCAGACACCAGGATTCCTGTGAAACCCTCCCATTCCTGTCAAACAGTCAACATAAAATTAACAGTTCTTTGATCAAACAGTATAGTCAAGATCAGATCATGCAACAGTTCTTTGAAATATTTGGAATCTCGTGTTTTGAAAAATATTTCTGAGACACAATTTTTTTTAGAGCCTTCTCATTTCAAAAACTGCATGCTTATCAGTAAGTTTACATACATTTTCATCAAACATCTCTGGTTTCATTCCATGCACCATGTGGAGGGCAAACATGAGTCGGTCTGCTTTGAACAGTGAGCGACAGACGTATTCATACACCAGGTTCTGTAGTCTTTGAGTGAGGGCTCGAATTCTATGGTCAGTTCCACTACCGTCCTGTAAAAATTTGTCAAAATCTTTTTTTCTTTTCTGAATTCCGATTTTACTTACGGGGTTGACACCAAGTTAACAAATGTCAAAACTAGGAAATGTCCTATTTTTCCAGACAAAATTATAATCTGAAAATGCTTCTGTAAATGCTATTTTTGAAATGTCAAAAGCAAACAAAAAATTGATTTGACGATAAATAAAGTTCTACCTGTTTGGTCTTGAGAGCTTTCTGGAAGATTCTAAGAAAGGCAGCCAGACTGAACCTGTACATGTTGTTGATTTTAGCCAAGTCGCTGATGACAAAGTACATCCTACTACCACTCTCTGCTAGAGGCAGGTAAGTGTTTCTCTCCTATAATTAAATGCCAACAAAATATATTACAGGAAGAATTGATATCAGTAATACACGAAGAAATTTGTTTCACTTGATTTCTTCAAAGGAAATTCACATGAAAAAGACACGAAATGGGCACATGTATATTCCAGATGTATTTTACTGGAAAAGAACACAAAAGTGAAATTTATGTGAAAAATTGTATGCGACTCTTTCCCTGTACTAACCTGGTCCAGTGAAGCTTGTAGCCGTACAGATTCTGTCAGGGACTCGGTAATCGTAATACTGCTGGCCTTGGTCTTATTCAGAGAGTCCAGCAACTCCTTGTTTTCTAGAATGTTTCCCTTGGCATTGGCCAATTCCTAAAAACAAAGAAATATTGCACTAGTGGGACATAATAACTCAATGCATAAAAAAATCTAGATTTTTAAATAATGTATTATACAGACTCAAGAAAATCAATTGTTTTTGAAATGTATTTACTTCTAGCAAGGATTCCTCCATTTTGGCCAGCTGAATTTTTAGATCCTCCTCTGTCTTCAATAACTCAGTCTTCCTAACTTCCAGTTCTGGCTTCTCATTTTGTATAGTGGCTGCTAGCAGCTACAAAAGGAGGAAAAGGATTTGATTTCCTCAGTCATACATCACAAGCATAATGCATACAGCCTTTTGTACAAGTAATATCATTAATTTTTTTTTAATACATTATTACATCAAACATCATATTTTACTCATAAAGGAAGGAAAACCTGAAAAAAATTAAAAGATAAATAGAAAACACAAATGCAGTTGAACCCTGTTATCTTGAACACCAATATCTCAAATACTAGGCTTTGGCAAAGTGGTTTTGGAAGACCCAACTACTTTTAGCTTCAATATTTCTAATCCTCCAGTATCACAAAGTTTTTTCTCAGTCCCATCAAGTTCAAGATAACGAGGTTTGACTGTTGACATATTTTCTGTACTAAATTTAGAATGTTTCCCCACCTGTCCTGTGAGCCCTGCCCTGGTGGTGGTGAAATTGACCTCTGTAATGATGGAGAACGCATCTGGAGGGATTTCAGGGTTGGGATTTCTGGTGGTCAGGAAAAGTCGGAATTCCTCATTGTAATCAATCGTCTTCTCCCCAATCTGAACAACATACCTGGGACCTATAACACATTTGTTAACAGAAATCAAAACCCTGTGTACACAAGACTTTTTCACTCAGTCCTGTTAATCTTTCGAAAAAAATATATCGTTACAAAAAAAAATTAAGTGACCAAATGAGGTATTGAAAGAATTGAATTGGTATTGAATGTCTACATACAAAAGAGGTACATGTATTTGAATGATAGCTAGACAATAATATCCGCATGTTTGGTGAACTTTGGCTTCTGACCTTGAGCTGTAAGGTCACCACGTAACAACGGATACAAGATCGGTTCCACACCATCCACCTCCTGTATGATCAAAGTTTTTCCGAATCTGACTGCAAGCTCGAGAGATGTTGTAAAGTTGGCATCCTGTCAGAAAAATATAAATTCCAGGTTTCAAATATGTCTTGATGAATCAACATTTGATTCAAGTTATCAAATCTGCAAACCTCAGAATTTTTTTCTAATGATTTGAATATTTTAGCCTTAATTTTCACTGATTTTTCCACAGTTGTTATTACAGTATTAAAGTGTGTAGATTAATTAGGCTTAAAGAATATTCATGCTGACCTGTTGATTGATGACTTCCAATCGGTTCTCCTTGAGGTGAGTTTTCAACCAATCAGTGGCTCTGGAGGAGGGGTCAATTAGGAATGGCCTCAATGTACTCTGAAATATTCAGTAAAAAAACATAGTTGTAAAGAGGGAATATTGTTATCTAATAAATAAAATGCCTTTTTTATTGGTTAATGCAGGAATAATTCAGAATCCTGTATTAACATATAAAGACATTTTATTGTTCATAATAATACTAGTACTGGGTATTTATGTCCTTATATATAATAATTCATGTTTTAATTAAACAAAATTCAAGTACATTATGTCATTCAAAAATATAAATTAATAAAAATACATAATATGTTAGTTATTCATCACTATTTAACTTAACACTAAAATAAACATTACAATTTCTTCAGTCAGGTTATTAAATAATTTTAATGACAAAGTCTATCCCTTCAAAAGTTCAATAAAAAAAAAATTATGTGTAATATAAGCACACATTTAAACAATTTTACCATCACCTGTGATATGAATGTGCATTCATCAATTTAATTACAATGTGAATTATGTGGCAATTAAGGCAAACATTTTCCTCAAATTTGGAGCAAAAATCAAATTAAAATTTAAGTGAAAAATAAAGATACATGTACATCATAACTGTAGTCATTTCAGATGATTTTGTTTATAATAATATATCTTCGTGAAACACAGCATACTGACAAAGGCAAATTCCTCAGATGGCCAATGACCTTGACCTTATGTAAATCTATAACCTTGACCTTCAGTAAATGAATACATTCATTTATATTCTTTGTAGATATAGATACACAGGTAGGACCAAAAGAAAGTTAAGGTTGCAGATGTACAGATTTAAATAAACAAAATCCTGATTTTTGATTTTGCACAAGCTACAGAATAAAATTAAGAGTGCTAGAATTAGAAGCGAGTGTGTAAAACTCATGGACTTGAAAAGTGAGGTGAAAAAAGAAAAAAAAATCCACACACACAGGAGTTTCCATCTTACCCCTGCTGGTATATCATTGATCTGGCGTTCATATTGAATAAGTCAAAAGTTAATGTGCATGCATCAAAGAAAACATACATTATTATTTCCAAACCATTTCCTAGCTAAATTACACAATCCCTACATGTTATATAAAGGTATATATATTAAACTAGCTAAAATAAGATATAAGTAATTAATAAGAAAAGGAAACTAGGATCTACATGCATATATGATTTTGGTTTCACTGTTAGCTGATTTTACCATTGATGGCTGAAGACACTAAATTATGATAAAATATATGATATACACATCATGCCTAAATTATCTATTAAATATATAGCATGCTTTTATTAACACTGTCTAAACATTTACATTTTATATTTATAATTCTAAAGAGCAATTTAGACTTTTTTCCCATTCCTAGCTAATTACAAATATTACATTATATATACAATAAAAATCATGCTGTTATATAAAAGCTGCATTGCTGATAGATTCATCATGCAGATAATGTACCATTATTTAAATATGTAAATAAGTTTATATTTAGCATTTTTACTACTGGTCGGACATACACAAGGAAATTTACCTGAAGAATGACTAAGGCATTTTCCATGGACAGTTCATCGGAGGGTAAACCCTCTGCTTTCCAGATTAACTGTTCACTCTCGGTACTGAGGAATCGACGACAGTCAAAATTCTGTATCCCCAGAGCCTCCGACCAGCTGTTCAGGAAGTTCCTTCGGGCATCCTCGGGGGCCTGGGCTAGGTAAGTGATAAAGGCCGAGGCCAGCAGGGCTCTCTTTGGGAGTTCCTTCAACTCGTCAGACAGTTCTCCCACCTTAAAGAGAAGAAATTAATATCTCATTTGATAAACATGTTTCTGGATATAAAATGAAATGTTTAATTCAGAATAACTGATACCAGTGTATCTGATAATAATAAATTATATCTGAAAATCCTTTGAATTTGTTTAAATATTATAATCCTCATTAAAGTAATGACCTCATATACCGGATGAAAAGAAAAATATCCCACTTTGAAGAAAGCTTTATTACAAATGCAATACATGTACAATTAACCCCCCTCCCCCATCCCCATTAAAATTCAATATGAGGGAGAATCTGGCTCTCTTACTTCCTCCCTCCTAACAAATCTGCCTATATCTGACCTGTCTGCTCCATCTCTCATATTCCCCTTCCAGTTTTGTCACTAGGGTCTCTGCCGCCTGGATCGTCTCATTCTCCTTGTCCAGCTTAATCTTCAGTTCAGCTGCCTCTTTGGTTAAGGTCTCAAACCTGTTTCTAAGGGAGGCAACTTTTGCATCAACTTCATCTAAAGCTCTCTTCAGCTTATCCATTCTGCCTTCTGCTTTCTTGAGGTTTCTGTAAAAATAATGAACGAAGAATAAAATCATATTACCAAATAAGAAAATGTATCCATAAACTTTACCATGCTTTATTGGTTATGGAATACTCATTGAACTAGTGTTATTTACATATGAGCATATACTTTTAATGTTAGAATTACTCTGATTTCTCAGGTGCTAGTGTTCATGTTCATATATAGGCAACATTTGCCCTCAGCCTGCATCTTACTCAGGTAACCAACTTGCTACATACTTCTCATCAGGTGCTAATGAACATGGAGATACATAGATAAGCCTACTTGTCCTCAGCCTACATTTATATTCATTTCACAGAGTAATGCAGTTTTTTAATATTGTTTTTATGTTGATGTATTCCATTTCCATTTAAAGTACTTTGTATATTTATTCTTAGTTTGTTACATGAGCCCTAAAGGCAAACATAGTGTTTGAATAGATTTAGTTATAATTCAACTTCGTATCCTGTTATTTTTGAGAATAAACTTTCTGTTTTGAAGAATTCTTGAAGATGGCACTTACACAAAAGAGAGATAAAGACTGACAAAGAAGGTTATAAATTTATGAATCTTGATAAGAATACCTGATGAGCTCATTCTGTTCATTTTCCAGAGGTTCAATCTTTTCCAGTACATATGAGAATTGTACATTTGCTTTCACCCATGCCGCAAGAGGCTCAGCTGCCACGGAGGCTCTCTTAGCAACCTATCAAACAAAATATGACCAACTCAGATTAAATTCTAAACTGATGCAAGATATTGAAATATTATACAGCTTTTGAGGTTTTGTGATCATTCAGAGAAAGATAGAAAAAATATTTTCTTTTTTATTGAGTTTTATATTATGAAATTGGATCAATTTACCGCAGGTTCGAACGAGTCTTTGCTTTTCTTGATCAGGGCCTCTACTCCCTTCCTGATCTCTGGCGTGATTTTTCTGGCGTCAAATGTCTGAATTTCTTCCTTCACTCCTCTCTTTGCCAGAAAACTATCATAAGAGAAACATTTTTCATTATAAAGCCAAAAACCAAAATTGTTCTGGTTAAAAACATTAATGAACATGTGCCATCAATTTAAAAGATATGTAAATTAAGAAGCACAGACCTCTTCATGCTGACCCAGGAGGTGTCAAAGATCCCCATGAGCCTGAGCACCCCCTCCAGGATGTCCCTGATGGTATCGGGAGGGGCCCTGAGGGAGCGGATCTCAGACAGGGACTCAGTTTTGATGTTCCCTACCGCTGCCTTGGCCGCCTTCACTAGCGGCTCCACCTCGGCCAGTTCTCTGTCGATCGCCTTCTTCCTCGTCTGGAGGACCTTGTCTTCCTCCGCCGCCTGTCTCTTTAGTTCTTCCATCTCATTCTTCTGATCACTAGCATTCTTCAAAATAAAAATTTTTTTTTTTATTTTTACAGTGGAATTAGGCTTACTTGGATATTGTGTATTTTGAAATCTTGCTTCATATAATGTAAAATTCAAGTATGTTTTAGTAATTCAATTGTTTAGAGTGTTCTCTAATCCGAATGCTGTCTAATATGGGCAATTTTTATGGAACCAGTGGTGCCCAGTTTAAACAAGTTCTACTGTATTTACAAATGAGACAAAATTATGTAACAGACTTTACAATCAATTCTATCAGTTTCTTACTGAACAAAAATAAAAACTCAAATCATTAAAGAACAGAACTCGAATATGGCTATTCTTTACCTGCATGCTGATGGTGATTTCCCTCAGAGCTGTGTCTGCCTCAGCCTGTTTCTCTGCTAACAACACACTCTGCTCCCCAGCTTTTCTCTTCAGTTCATCCACCAACTGTTTGGCCTCATTCAGTTTGGACACACCAGCCTGTAAGTGGTGCTGTCGTTTTTCCACCCCCGCCTTCTTGTTACTGTACACCGTCTGGTACGTGTTGAGGAAGGCGATGTATCGGCGTGGAGTGGCCCCCATGTTGGCCTGGACACAGGACTCGTGGACGTGGAGGAAGGATTTGAGGAGCTCCTCTCCCCCTGACAGTTTCCTTTGGTGCCTCTTCTTCTCCCCAATACTGGCTCCCTCTATTTATTTATCTTTCTTTAGGTTTGGTTAGCAGCATGAAGGGTACCTAACAAAGAGAATGGCATACTAGATACAAACTAAAAATACACTTTAGCAAACACTGTTTATAGTCTATAGATATAATGCATTTTTACAATGAAATATCAGTTATGGCACTTCAGAGCATGGTTAATGACAAGTCATCTAGCAACTGATGAAACATTCAACAAATACTTTCTTCTTCACTGTAAACTTTCCATATTTTGATATTCACAATACTGCATCTTAATCTGTAAGGAACAAGGATGACAAACATGGTATAACTGCAGATGTGAAATGTGTTAATATAATTACCTTGATCATTGAGTCTCTACTCCAGGATTCCATCCACTGAACAGCACACTCTTTGTACAGGGCTGGGTTACTCTCACAATTCAGGGTGAAGGAATTGTTACTGCAGTCCATAATCAGAGCTATGTGCAGATTGGTCTTGATTCCTAAAAGCAAATTTTATAGAGATCTCTCAATATATATAAGTGATATCTTCAACTCTCAACTCACACATCAACACACTGAGAGGTAAACTCAATGACAGTTAATATTATAATTTTTATCTCAAAACATATTGGACAGTCTACCACCAACATTTTTCAGTTAAAAAAAAAAATGACTTACTTGTGGCATAGAAGTTGATGAGTGTCCCCCTGAAGCCTGCCTCTGAGGCCATGTCCCTGAGAGGTGACAGGAGGGGCTCTAACTCCTCCGGGGAGTACAGCCCGGGCACCTCCCCCGAGGACAGGAGACTGTTGATCATCTCCAGGAACTGGGGCTCCACAAACTGGTGGTCCTCTAGAAGAAGCACCACCTGCTCTCCCTCTATACCGGCAAGCTGCATCACCTACAGGGGCAAAGAAGGGTCTTACACAAATAGACTAACACACATGGTTAATTAAGTTCATTTTAATCAAAAGATACAGTGAAATCACTCATTTTTGTTGTTTTTGAGGCATGGAAAGACCCAAAAATTTATCACCACCAAGAAATGCATTACTACTAAACATTTCCAACCAGGAAATTAAATTCCCAAAGACTAATATTTTTTCTGAAACCTTGACAATTTGACCCCACAAAAATATGTGATTTTGACCTTGACAACATTTGAAATTAATAAAATTATTGTTTGCATCAAATACATGTTTCAAATTTGACAATATTCAGCTAAACTAATTCCAGCAAAACAAAATGATGAAGTTTGCTGTTTTTCTTTAAGGTCTATACTTACAGTTTTCAGATCATTTTTGAACTGCTTCATTCCATAGGAACGGGAGACCTTTGGAGAGAACAGATGCATCTGGTGCATGTGAGCCACCAGGAGAACTGCAGTCCTCCTCCCCACACCACTCCTCCCCGCTAACAGCAGGGATCCCCCAGGGAGGGTCAGGACCCTGTCCACTCGGGCAATGTTATCCAGAACTTCTCGGAAAAGAAGGATGTCCAAGTCTCTGTTTTCTCGACCTGTTCAGGAAAATTCAATCAAAAGAATTATTATCTACAGTTCTTCAAATATCTTTATATACACCACCTTCTTTTCCAAAGGTGTATAAATTTATAGATATATTAACTGAAGGAGATATTTATGAACACTTTTTCACCGTTTTTGCACAATGTCAATTTTTGGAGGACATTGGTAAAGAATCAAACAACATACTGTATAGTTTGAGTCCTCTCTCTATCACCGCTGTCAGGTCATCACTGTTGAGTTTCCCCAGGGGTTTTCCTGTTGGGGGTAGAGGGGCACCTGCTGCCACAGCAGGTCCTCCATCCTCATGGCGAGCCCCCCAAGTCACAAAGTAGTCAGCTAAAATAAGATAAAACTTTTATTTTCTTTTCAATGTAAATGAATTGTTTAAACATAAAAAATCTTTAAGTGGACAAAGATCACATACAATAATTCATATTGTTTTTCACTCTATAGTGATATACAGTATGTTTTCTATACACACTCTAGAAATATTTATAGATATAGATTGCTTCCTTATTTCTCTGTTTACCTGATAAAAAAAATATGCCTTACTGTCTAAGTTGTCAAATATGTTAGCTGACCAGTCAGCTCTGACAGTAGACATCAGAATGCTGTCAAACTTATTCTGGCCGTCTGATCCGACGACTCGATCTCGGAACAGGCGCCGAGCCTCGTACGCCCAGATCTCAAGGACGTGATCACTCGAGCCCTCCTTGGCCCCGGCATTGAGATCGTATCTCAGTAAACTCAGGCACCAGTCAGTCAAGTCCCGGGGGGTAAACAGATAGTGACTGTAGTCATCCACTGTGAACCTTGACCTCAACTAAAGAGAAAAGAAAAGAAATTATGATGATGATTTTTAATGCTTCAGTTTCATGGGAATAAATTCTTTATTCTAGTTACATTCTATCATTTAATTGTATGCATATCTTTTCATGTTCATGGATCAATTTTTCTTGCAACATTTACATGTAATAAATGCATTAATAATCTCATATTTGAGGTTTGCACTGTAAATTTTAGTTTCTGTCAATTGTAACACACAAAATTAACCATCTGGTTCAGTTGAACTGTTTTATACAAGCTAGACAATACATTACCTGGTCATACAGTTGTACCATGGATCCAGCTAAGGCATACACTTTGGCAGGATTGCCCCACACTGGGTGGCGTCCGAGTTGTCTGTTCAGTATGGGGGTCAGGTAGGCTCCATAGATAGCCTGGAGCTGCTCTTTGTCTGGGTAGCTACGAAAAGCAAATATTTTAAAGCATACTTCATACATTGACGGCCTATCCTATCTGCTTGACGAAATTATTTATTTCCTTTCTTTATTATTTCATATTTGTGAAAATACTTTCCGATACATCTGATGTTATAACAATGATACACATTAAACTTTATAAAATCACACCTAGCACCTGACTTTTACACTTTCATTATATGTTCAGCTATTTTTATTAAGTTAATTTTTTTTGGTACTTTTATGGGAAAAAAAATCCACCACAAGTCACATTTCTAAACTGTATGTAAATCTACCAATCCTTACCCAATACAGCAGATTCTGACAATGGAGGTGAAACGAGTGGTCAGTTTATGTCGACCCAGGCCTGTCCCCGCATTCATACTGGCCACAATCTGTACTCCCTCCAGCCCCACCCACTCCAAGTTGTGGTCATAGAAACCATTGTATGTTATGACCTAAAAACAAAGACTACATGTATTTTGAATGCTCATGGGAATAAAATTGACATTTTAAATCATGATCTATTGATCAACAAAATTACTGTCACTTGACACTAAATTTTGATTTTCAGTGGAATTTAATGCATAAAAATTTGTGCTTTATACAGCAAAACTCGTTTAGTATGAACACAGATATAGCGAATTCACGGTTATAACGAAGTTGTTTTGGATCCTATGCTATATAAATTTAACGTATTTCTTATATGGATATAACGAATAACGGATATAGCGAAGTAACTTCATAGGTCCCGTGACTTCATTATAACCGAGTTTTATTGAATATCCAAACCATAAAATGACACCAGAATAAATCGGATGATATTTCAGATAATAACTCTATACCTGTTGGAGGAAAGCCACTAGCTGACATGTCCCCCACTTGTCTGGTTTAGGCAGGTTGAGATCCTTTAGGTACAGAACCAGGCGTTCACAGTCCTTGGGTCGGTACACTCGCCCTGTGTTCGTGTTCAGCACCATACAGCTCTGGCTCAGCTTCTGTAGAACGTGTGTGGGGTTGGTCTGGGCACTGCAGTGAACCACAGCAACCTGGGTAGACCTCAGCTGCTCAAAGCAATGCTTCAGCAACATCCTGGAAGAAAGAAAATCAATTATTTTACATGTGGAAAGACATCATTTTACTTGCAAAAAGTAATTGTAATTTTCCCCTTTCTCTTCTCTATCAACACTTATTTTCTGTACATAAAGAAAACAGAGTGTGCTTAAATTTCAAGCAGCTGCAATGAGTAGTTGCTAAGAAAACTGGGATGAAAATCTGTTAAAGACAGACACAGCTACACTGACCCACCCTTACAGACAAACACACATGTTAAATGGTATACCTTCCCTCTCCTTTGGAGGGGGGTATAAAAAGTTTTTAAAAATTTAAAAAATGTTCAGAGGCCTGCTCAAAGCTGATCAACAGTAAAAGCAGCAAGTACAAAAGCTTCCTACTCTTTCTGTCCATAGGAAAAAACAAAACTCTGGCTAAGCGTTTTAACAAATTTGCTTGCTCAATACTTGTTGTTTCTGTAGCAAAAATAACTTCCAGCTCAGAAAAATTGATTTCATCTATGTGTTTTGTCTGAGTACCTACCCCTTTCCACATCCCTCAGGTCCCACCAGAATGAAGGGCTGTTTGTTGTCAGCCTGTAGCCAGGGGGCGAAGTAATCTAGACCCCTCTGTACATCCCCCGTCCTCACCACTGGGAGAGACCCCCCAGAAGTGAAGTTATCAGCACTCAGGTCTCGAACAGCCTGCAAAGTTCAGCAAAATCATTAACAATTATATATCTGATATTCATTTGTATAATGTGTTAAATTACTCAAAATATTATTTTTCAGCAATGATACAAATAATATAATGATTGACAATTGCAAAATGAGTGTTTGGATTTAAGTTTTTTTATAGTGTAAATTTCAGTATGTCAAAATAGAACTGTCTCTACAAAAATTCTGTCTAAACTGACCCAATTAAGCACTACATTTTCCTAAAACCTAAACTATAAAATACAATTAACTGCAATCTTACTAAAAATATGGAACAATATAAAATACTTTGAAAACAATGCATGCAGACAGATCGTCTTTCCCTCTTTAACAAATAATCCTGTAACTTATTCTTCTACTTTGTTATGTTTACATAAATGAAATGCAGATAAATGTCATAAAAAATGCAGTTGAGAAAAGAAGTTTGAAGCAAAATCTCTTCTAACCATTATGCTTAGGTGTTGACACCAAAGGAGTGCAAAAGCAATGCATTCTAAATTGGGTTCAAGTACTTTAAAGCAGGTAAGAATTGATTCTGGCTGTGTTCACAGATTTATTATAACCATATTTTACTGAACTTCACCGCATCTTTTTCTTTTAATTAAAATTTGTAAACTAGGGAAAGTCATGTTTTGATTTTTAAGTGAATACTTTTGATTCTTAAATATATACATGGTATTAATTATCGCATAATTTCACTAGAAGCATCAATCATGAAATAAAAAAAACTGGGTTTTTTTTTTATGGTATTGAAATTTATGTAAAATCTTTTGATCAATCGTCTATTTGCTAATCAATATTCTCGCAATTCGATATTGAAGAGCCCATTCACGGTCATGATAAGTAATCATGGAAAATAAGGAATCTACAGTAAATGCATGGACATTGAACTGTTCAGTGATGAATTCTTGCATTAAACTGTCTGCATACTTGACTCGACATGAACATTTAGAATACATTCTGAACTAAACAAACAGTGCATACCCCATCTACAAAAATTTCTATCTGAAAAAAAATGGCAATCAATAATAATTAAAACTCACATCCAAACGCTGAAAAATGAAATATTAATAGCAAATATAGTATGGAACATAAAAAAAATAATTCCATTGAGCAAGGTCTTGACGACATGCCAAATACATGAGCTGGATTAATATACTGTTCAGTGATTTAATTAATTAATTTTTAATTAATAGATTGATTAATCAACCTAGTTTTTACCTCCATACTGTAGGTCATCAGTCGTCCCATGTTTTCATCATAGAACGTGTCTAGGGGACGTCTAGAATCTGGAGGCATCTCCTGAGTCCAAGTAAACACCTAAAATCATGGGGGGAAATGGAAATGTCAGCTCTAGCCAAAAAATACTGTAAATTCCACAATACAGGTAAAGTATAATTACTTTTCTTGCAATTTGATGTCCAAGAGCCATTTTGCAATATTAAGCACTTGTGTAAAATGAATAACCTACAGTTTCTTCCTATTTCACATTACACTTAAAGATTTAGCTAAAATTTCAAGTTTGGGTTTGCAATGTAGAATCTGGATTTAAAGTTCAAATGCATATTGTGATATATAGCCATTAATTAGTAAATGACATTTTTTTTTCTCCACATCTAACCTCTTTTGCGAATGCTTCCCTGCTTCCTTCATTGAGATTCCCTCCCAATCCATGGATCAAGCAGACAGCAAAGTGAGCTTTGTTCCGGACATTGTGAAGATGGGAGAGTCCATTCAGAACCACCCCGATCAGACTCGTCTCCACCACAAAGTCGTTCTGACAAAAACAAAATACAAAGTTAAACACTAAATTCAAGTTTCTGTGTTTAAAATTTTTAACTACAGTTGAACTTTAGTATCTCAAATACCAATATCTTGAATATCATGGATACGTCCAAGAGGTTTCAATATCTTGAATATCATGGATATGCCCAAGAGGTTGAAAGCCCCCAGTCAATTATTCTTCTAGTGTATTACCCTCTATATCTCTAGAATTTTTTTTTTTCTGTCACATCAAGTTTGAGATAATGAAATTGATTGTGTTTACTCTTTCAATTTTGCCAATCTTCTCTGATTCAATAAAGCTGAAGTAAAACCCATTACGCTGCATTATACTAATTATTTGATTATTCTAGGTCGACACAATATTTTGTCAGACCTGCTTGAGGACCCAGTCCACAGCCTTGTAGAAGTGATCCTCTATCCAGCCAGACATGATGTGCTGTTCACTCTCAGGTTGGGAACTCAGCCAGGAGTTCACCACAGCCTTAATGTCAGTGTCCTCATCACTAGGAGAGAGAGGGTGTTTGAAATAATGACACAATTGCTATAAGACTGATTCAATTAAACTGTAATGATAATTTAGCAATGGCTTCTTTCTAATTAAAAAAATGTACTTGCATGAAACATTTTCAACATCATTTTTCATGATAGGATTTTTAATAATGCTGAGTTTTTCAGCTATTTGTAACAACAAAATCAATATCAGTTTGGATTTGTGGGAAGGGGAAAGGTTTATTTTATACATTTGATAATTACCTGAGGAAAATCATCCCCATCCTAGAGATGGTGGCAGGGGAGGCACAGCTAAGGTCGTGGGTCTCAAACAGGAAGTTAACGTTGGGTCCAAACTGGATTCTCTCTCCGGAGGGCATGGTGAGGAGCCGGTTATCATCCAGGACAGAATTCAGGGACTCGATCCACTCTGGATCAATGTCACCGTCACAGATAATCCATGACTGCACCTCTGTCAGCAAACAATGCAAAGTTGATAAAATTAATGTTTCATCGGTGCTTAATACTAAATATGCACTAAAATTATTCATTTTATTCCTTGAACTAGCTAGCATATTTAATCTCATATTTTAACCATTCAAGAGAGAAAATCAAAGGACAAAAAGAAAGTTTCCTAAGTTCTATTCAAATCATCTTGATCTTTACAGTTTGGAAAAGAATACCGTATAGCGTGTTTTCTTGGCGGGTGTAAAATTTGGCGTTTTTCTTGGCGGGTGTAAAATTTGGCGTTTTGCCTGCTCAAAGGTATGCCAATAATTTTGGCGTAATTTATTTTAGCGGAGACAGTGTTTCAACTCTTTACAAATGAACACTAAGAAGAGTACTGAATATTTTAGCGATTAAATTTTTAGCAGGCTACCATCAAAACGCTAAAATAAGCCAAAATTAGCACCCTGCTAAAATAACCCGCTATTCGGTAAGAGATTGTCACTGTTCCACACACAAGACTTGCCCCAGTAGTGGTGCTTTATGTGTTGTTGGCACATTGTTAATACTTAAAACCTACCCTGAGGTTCTTTGACCACTTGTCTGGCACTGTAGGTCAAGACTCCATCTGTCCACTCTCTTGTGTCAATATCAATTTGACCCAGCAACTAATAAGACATCAAGACATTGTGTCAGATCAGTGTGTACTGTGTGAAACCACAAGTTCAACATGTTTTCTTCATGTTAGCTAAGCTTCAATATGATTAAAAAGATAACAGAGAATCAATGTTCATCTTCCATATGAAAACACTAGCATAGAAGGTTGGAATGCCTACCTGTGTCCTGTGCATGGCTTTGGGATTCATGGTGTACTTTTTGACATCCTTGCCAAGTTTGGAAAGCCCTGATCTGAGTATGCCCCACAGAGTGGTTTTACCGGAACCACTGGGGCCCACCACCACCACCCCGGTCCTCTGTCTCAGCTGTTCATACAGCTCCAAGGCCTTCTTGATCTGGAGGGAGAAAAAATAAGTAGGTCAAAGTGGTACACTGTATAGAACATTGCTTAAAGCAGCAAAAATTTCCTTAAAAAGAATGAACACATTCCTATGAATAAAATATAAATAATCCAAATGTATGAGGTGCTATATTATAAAGAACATGAGTGAAGATTATTACATAATTTCTTTACTACAGTTGCCATACAAATAAAGTCAAATTGTGGATTCAGTTTTGAAAATAAACTCAAGTTTGTGTCACCCTATCTAAACTTCTTTCAGCTAAATAAGTTATGCTTTTGCCAATTAAAGTAAAACTTGTCCAAATCACTCATTAAGTGTACTGTATTGTCCAGATATTAAAAATACATCAGGTTAAAAGGATAGTATAAAGCACACAAAACAAAATATTTTGGGAATAAAATATTCTGCCTGAATTCACAACATCCTGTACTCGTAACAGTTTTGCAGAATAGGCATAGCTCACTGATATTCTAAATTCTTCTTACCTGGATTTCATTGACCCTCAGGTTTTTTTCCTCACACACAGATCTAATGGCAGCTGCCAGTTCCTCAAACTCTATGTCCTTGAACTCAATTCCAGGGAAAACGTCCTTCATCAGAGCATTGAAGCGAGCACAGTCCGAGAAGGTCAGTTTAGACAAAGTGTTGATTCTCAAAGCCTGTACCACTAACTTGGCCTCAAATCTGTTGTCTATTTTAGCTGTTATTTTTTTTTCATAGAAAAGAAATTTGAATTAATAAGAACGTTTTCACCCCAATTTAAGATGTAATTTTCCCAGTTTAATTGAAATATGTACTACATTTGACATAATCAAATAGTAGGAATTAGTTAAGGTATTGTGCCAGTTAAGATATGACACCCACCATCCTTTTTCTTGGCTTGCTGCAGTAGGTTTCCACAGCCTCTTAGAACGGTCTTCAGGGCTCTCAATCCCCAGTCATAGTGCTGCTGTGGTGTTAATAGCTCCCTAAAAGTTATACAGAAATGTTCAACCTTGAAATCTTGGGGGGTTTGTATAGGAATACTAAATTCTCACTTCATTTCAAATTGTGCATGCAATTATTTTAGAAGTAGGTCCCAATTTCAAAATATCAAAAATTTGAATTCAAAAATATTTCTGGTCAATATGTGTAAAATTTCTTCACTTGATCTGAGTAACTAGACAAAAATAAATGAAAAGGGTTATCTGCACCAGAGCTACTTATATACTGTACGTGTACATAATTTGGTGTATTCAAAATTTAGCGCAATCAATGGAGTTGTTGGTGTAATCATGAATATATAATTTTTAAATCATTTTCAAAAACATGTTTTAGTGAACAAAAGGGTCATCTATGCCCAAAGCCGTGTATGCAACCCACTATTTTAAGTACACATAAAGTATTTGATATAATATCCATGTTCATCAGATCTGAAATCTAACACTAGGCTCTTTCTTCCAAATCATTAAATTTCTGATCAAATAAAATTATTCTCACTTGGACAGGTTGAACACAGCCACCAGTTTTCTGCCCAGCTCTTTGCCGGCCTTGAATCCTTCAGAGAAGAGAATGACTTCTGCGATCTGTTCATTGTCAGGTTTAGACATGGCTACCGGCCTAAACAACTGCTTCAAGTTGTCAGGTAACTTCTGTCGACCTCCGTAACCCTTGCCTGCTGGGTTCATGGTGATGAAAATTCCAGAATTGTGATCAATCTCCACCTGATAAAGAAAAGAGCAAATTTATACAGTAATACTCAATGATATTGAAGACAGTGGGACTGATTTTTACTTCCTTTTCAATGAAATTCTTATATCCATATGGGAACAACATGAGAATAGATCAATGGATTCATGCTAAGTTCCCAAAGCTATCACCAAGATTACCTTATAACTGAGTTCTTTGTAAATGAGTTTTACTATATAAAACATGTATTAAGTAGTGCATGGTTTCTATGATGAAACATTTTCAATCATAGTACAAAAATTTGAAACGAATTGTCCATGAAATGTTCATGCTTTTTTCCTGAATATAAAGACTTACATTTCTGCCCAGTAGTTCCGCCATGGGGGCCCGGTTTTTGATGGCGTCCTGTATGACCTGGATCTGCATGGATACAGCTGACAGCACGGCTTCCTCCAGACGATTAAACTCATCAAAACAGCCCCAGGCTCCACACTTCACCAGACCAATAAAGATTCTCCCCATAGACTTCACATCTATACCCTGTTCAAATCAACGGAGATATGGTTGTGAAAAAAAGTTTTTTCAATTCTCTTTTCTACCCAAAACACTTTGACATATTATACGTCTCTGCATACACCAATATCTAGATAAAATTTTTAAGTGTATCATTGACTTTCTACCAAGCCAAATCTAGATATCCTTATATCATTGATTTCTACTAAGCCAAATCAAAATATCTTTCACATAGCTTTGTCAATGTTGGAGATTATTTACCTCATCACAGTTGAAGACCAGAACCTGTCGCCCAAACAATCCACCCAGGGCCTTGACAGACTCAGTCTTCCCTGTACCTGCTGGACCATAAGGATTCCCTCCAAGGCCCATGTGCATACCTATAATAAAATTCATTAAATTTCATTATTTAGTACTCAAAATGTAGATGCAGTGATTAGTATTCTGAAAATTTATGCATATATTTTTGAAATTTTTTGCAAGCATAATTTAACTTCTAAATTGGAATATTTTTGTTCATTAATCTCGGGAACTCTTTAAATAACTTATTTATTCGCAGACATTATCACTGAACAAATATACAATGTCACTTCATTCAAAGTATTTTCCATATAGTCTATGTAAATTCTCTCAGATTATAACCTTGAGTGAGTGTCAGGTAGCACTTGTCTGTCAGTGGGGTGTGGACCAGTTTAGGGGCATTGCCCTGATACTCATAAGTATACTCAAACTCAGCGTCCACCATCTGTATGCTACACAGGCCTTTCCTGTTCATGTAGAATCTGAAAGGAAATCAAAGATGCACTGAACTATGGAATTTTGAGAAATGTTATGAATATAAAACAAATTCTATCTTCTTTAATGTATTTTCAGATAAGAATTATACACTGTGACTAAAAATGTTGCTGACAATTTTACAACATCTTATACCAATCTTTTTATTTGTAACACTACACACAAGTTTTCCAGTTTTTACCCAATCTCTCCTCTAAATACTGCAATTTTCACCTACAATATGCCATTCTTACCTGAGCTGTTTATTCCACATCCATTCCGCAGGTGAGCGAGTGTTGGTCTGCATCAGCTGATGAACCACATCAATGGCGTGAATGGTGTCAAGGATAAGGGCCTTCAACTTCAGGTCAAGGACATGTGTCTGGGTGTCACTGCTACTGTCCCCAAGGTCAACATCAGTATAAGACTCTAGCTGGGAGGCTAACTCCTTGTTGTACTGAGCCAGGGAGCTCTTGGAGATGGCATGCTCACAGCTCTCAGTGAAGCGGATCTGCTCAGCTAAGCATAGAATCTGTAATTAAAAGCAGAGAGACATTTCACTCTGAGAACAATATATAAAAATCTTTTTGTTATTTGAACCCCCTATTAAATTAGCAAAGTTACATACAGTTGAACTTAGGTATCTCGAACACTGATATCTAGAATATCATAGATTTGAAGTTCTAATCATTTTTTATTAAAATATTTTACCCTCAATACCGTAATTTTGGGATTATAGGTCGATGGGGTATATAGGTCGAAAGGTTCATTTTCAGCCTTAATTTTTGAAAAATCCAAATGTTTATATAGTACATGTCTTTCCCAGTTTCTAAGTCTCAATCAACGTATATTACAGGCAAAACCCTAGAATATATTCCTTTGATATATCAAGAAATTAAACAGCTATTTTAATGAGTACAGCATTTTAATAAAGTTTTTTTAAAAATGTAGTTAAAACTTCTTTGAATTGTGTTACTACTTATTTTTCTCCAACTTGCGTGTTCAATCAATCAATGCCTCCGTAGTTTCACACTGTTGTTAAATCAGAGGCATAAATAACACCTAAATACGTTATTTTTTTTTTACAGCTATATTTCGGGAAATACCCGAGACCAAAGAATAGCAATTCCGATTTCCGAATAACTTGGACACATTCCTAATAAATTTTATTCAGACAGTATTTACCGGTGGACGACAATTACTTCGATGTCCGCCATTGTTATTTTTCTACTCCAGGGATTGGCTAAATGACGCAAATGACCATTGAATATATATCAAGCAACAGTAAAGAATTTAAATCATATTAACACTCTAATAAGTTTAATTTATAAATTTAATTGAGAGTACATTCACAATTTGACTGTCAACATGAATTTCACGGCTTTGTTTGTTCAATGATGTGTAACACTAATACCCTATAATGGCACGTGGGTTTATAAAATCAGGTGTTGTTTAACACCTTTGCCTAACAGTGTAAATCCCTTTAAAAATTAACAGGTTAAAATTCTGTTAGAGCCAATCTTTGTATACCGGTAGTTCAATGTACTTTCTTGTGTACGAGCTTTAAAGGCAACAAATTATTTCACTCATTTTGCATTTAAATAAACATAAATTAAGACAATAAAAAATATTTAATATACTATTTCAATTTATGTACTAATAAATGGTAAAAACACTATAGTTGTAATCGTGAAAATTTTCTTATTTTTGCCATTACATTAGTACACAAAATAACTAGCTTCACAAGATGGATACCGCATGATGTTAATGGATAATACAAAATTATTTAATAGGTGAAGCAATGTATTTTTACTTTCTCATCAACGGATAATTAATGGAATTTATTTTGTAGAAAGTTTTAGAATAAATATGTTATTGTTTACCGGGGCATTATTATTTTTTTGCAAAAATAATCAAAAAAGTGAAATTTGCTTTGAAATAGACGCAAATTTTACTGATTTGGGGGCATTTTTCGTAAACTTGAGCCTTAAATAGGTCGAATTCTGAATATTGGTCGACCCCAGCGGTTCTGAGGAAAAAAGTATCGACCTATATTCCGTAAATTACGGTATTTTGAAATCTCTGAAAATTTGCAAGTTTTTTTATATCTCGAACCCATCAAGTTCGTGATAACAAGGTTTAATTGTTAAGATCAACACTCAGCTTTGTTCAGGCTAACACTCCTAATTTCACTATCCTTACCTGAGATGGATATTTCCCTGGATCCAGACTTCCTTTGCCTCCCTTGGCATCCTTCAGACATTCCCTTAGGAGTTCTTGTAATGTTTCCTTCATTTCATCAGCAAGTCTTCCAAGCCAAACCTAGAGTACATATTCATAAATCTTCAATAGAGAAATTCCAGAAGTCACACATGTTAAAATGATAGAAAGTTCTTATTTAAAATAAAAAGAAAATTTCAATTCAGTTTTTAAGCAGTTAACTTTGAATCCAAATACTGAACATAAGATTAACAGCATGAAATACAATTGCTAACATCATTGCATTTACTCCTCATATCAATCAATATGCAAGGAGCAAGATTTTGTTAACATTTTCAAATACAATGTCTGTAATGGGGTAAAAACTAAAAATTCATACATGAATATAAACTAAAATGAATAATAAACTCAATTATTTTTCACTGACCTCCACTTCCGGCATGATTTTGACTTTCTTGAGCAGCGGTACCACCTCTCCATCTAATGACTTCATAGCCAGAATGTGTGAGGCGTTGTCATCAAACTCCACACTGTGGATTTCTTCAATCTGGATAACATTAGGATATATATCTCCAGTAAATCGTCATCTCCAATAAAGTAGCAGGCTCTTTTCCTATTATGTAAATCAATATATATAATTTTTTGTTGTACCTTTCAAAATACTACAAATATATTTTGAAAATCAAAATGTTGAAAGCTTCTCAAAAATTGCATTAAGAAAAACATGGATTCAAATTGATGATGATTTTAAAATTTCAAACGGATCACATTGTAAACTTTACCTCCAGGAATTCATTGAGTGACTTCTGACATCTCTGAAGCTGATCCAACATGGTGGTCAGAAGATTCCGGAGTCCAGCCTTACTGACCAATGACAAAACTCTGTTGTCTCTACGGACATCCATCATAATGTTCCTGAAATAAAATAATACCAGTGACAATTCAATATTTTAGTAATGTACTGATATCAAACTGTGAACAAAAACACAGAACAGAAACATATTTGCAATATTTTTTTTGTCTTGCTACTGTTACAGCAAATGGTTATCATTCATGCATACCTGAAATCATCGTCTACCCTCTTGAACCTCCCTTGCTCCTTGGGTAGAGCTCCCCGACCAAAGATGGGTTCCAGATAAACCCACTTTCTCTGGATCTGGTTCAGGTTATGGAGGTACTCATCCAGATCTGCCAGCCTCTGCTCCCAAACCGAGGCCTTGTCTTCAAAACTCTTGTAGTAAGGGGAATCCTTCAGTGATTGTAGCAGAGCCTGATTGTCTCCGACCTAAAGAAATAGGAGAGTAACTGATTAATCTGTATCTAATTAAAGATGCAATTTAAATATGCCACTAAGAAATATAACTTTTAGTAATAATCATATCATTTTCCATATACATGTCAAATATTAAACTCATCTGAAAAAAGTACTTGCAAATGGCCTTAAGTATGAAAACACTTACTTGACCAACTTTCAGTCAGAAAAAATGAGGGACAAGTTCTCTAATAAGGGATTAAATCCTCTCAATCACATTCTCAACTAAAAGACAGAACCCCCTCTTTACCTGATTGACGAGGTCCTTCCAGTCTTTGATCAACATGATGTTGTTCTTCTTACTATCCTCGTACTCTGTCAGTGTAAACACTGCCCCGGCCCCCCACAAGTCCAGCTCCCTGATGGCCTCCCTAATGGTCACCTCTCCCTGGGCTCGCTGGTTCAACTCTTTCAAGGCATCGGCATTTCTGATGATTTCATCGCTGGCATTCAGGACTTGTCCAAAGTTTAGTTTCTCCAGAGTGGTTCCCCTTGGCATGTGGAGCAGACGGAAGAGTTCCATCCAGTGATCCTGAGAAAGAGGCTCTCCACGAACCCATTTCAGCACTGGCAGCACATTCTGAAGAAAGAAAATGACAAAAGTGCAAGTTGTTTCCAAAATTAGGAATAAATCATCCTCTCTGAGAATCAATTTACTTGAAAAATTTTAGTGCAGATTCAAAAATGTACACATATCAAAAAAATTTTTCTTCTCAAAATCAATTTAAACATTATATAATTATGTTTAGAAGTTAATAAATGCTTGACCTTGTACTTATCAATGTCCTTCTGTAGCCTAACTGTCATTGTGGTGGGCTCTTCAGATTTCAGCTTCTCATACCAAGAACTCAAGAACTCCTCAAACAAATAAGCCTTGCTCCTGTTCAAGGTAATACATAAAAATTAACCACCATCACACAAAATACAGTACCTCAAAATTAACAAATAATATGTTTTGTAAATGAAAATTCACACTTTGGTGCCTATAACAGTACTGAAAACTTAGACATAAGAACCTGAATGAGATCCAGTCCTCCTTGGCCAGTTCCTGGAGACCATTGTTGAAGTCTTCGTACAGTCCCCACATACTCTCATAGTTAGCCATGTCTCCCTTCAGTTCGTTAGCAATCTCCAGATCTGGCAGCTCCATCCCAAAGTGTTCACAGTCATGTCTAATCAAGGATATGTGAAAATACTTAAACTGTCCAAATCACAAAACACAGTTTTAATAAAATGGTCTCTACTTGTGTTAAAATAACTGTTTTATAAATTTACTTTACTACTCCATTTTGAGCCTTTGTGAATACATCAGAATTTATATTATATTTGGGTAAAATACTAATTGAAATATTCAAAGTGAGAACAAATTGATTAATCAAAGATCTTACTTTATTTTAATATACTTAAGAGTTTGCTAAATTTAAATCATATTCTCTATAATAGTAATTATAGAAAAATCAAACAAATCTTACATCAGAGTCTCCCTAGTCTTCTCCAGCTCTGCGAACTCTTGTCGTTTGTCCTTGATGACCTGTACCGCCGCCTCACATTTCTTCCTGTCCCCGTCCAGTGCGTCATCCCCGGGCTTCAGCTGATGCCAGCGGGCCGCAAACTTCTCCACCTCCTGGATAAACGCCTTCACTCTGGAGTCCACATTGTTTTTCATCACCTCAACCTGAATATTTAGAAAATATTTATTTTGAAATACATATGACTCAAGCAAATGAATAAATTTATTTGAATATTGGAATCTCAAATGTCAATATATATATTATCAGAGAAGTGTTGAATTGAGTCCATGGTTCCTGCTACTGTTTGAATTGTAGTTAGAACCTTGTTCTCCTAAAGTACCTTGTCAGTGCAAATTTCAGTTATATAAATCTGACTGAGTTTTATGTACTCAATAATGTAACAGATCTTTACTGATTTAAAGCAATTTTCATTGTTTCAATAACTTATATATTTATACATTTTGTGGCATTTAAACAATTAGTCCTTGAACTTTGACCTTTATTTTGAACAAACCTGCTCTTTGACCATGAGTTGATGACTCTCCATCATCAGTTCAAACTTGTCCCAGAATGCCTGGAGAGAGCTCAGGGAATCTACTCCTCCACCAGCCACTGACCGCAGTAGTTTGTTCTTAGCCTCAGCCTTCAGAAACAGGGGCTGGATCTGTAAAGAGGAAAAAAGGAGCTAATTTTTCACCTGCAGATGTAATAGGTATTACAGTGTAATTCACAAAGCAGTTTTGAAAAAAATTTGAATGACAGTACTTTACAAACTTTATAATTTAGGGATTATATAACAATATAGTAAATATGTAAAAATGCTCATTTTTAGCCAAAACAAAAAAAATCCTTACATTGGGCAAATTTTGAAAGACAGGACAAGGCATTCTTTACAGATTCCTATTTTAAAAGGTACTACAAACCTCCTTCTTTTTCTTGAGGAATTCAGCATGTTTGCCGTTGGCTTCCCCTATTTCCTCCACAGTTTGTGGACGCTGTGACAGAGTCTCCATGGCTTCCTTGAGGAAAGTGTCAATAGCATTGACCTCAAAAGTAATGGCCTTCCTCAGAGAGTTCAAAAGGGCATCAAACAACCTCTGGATGTGATCATCAATTACTGCCTTCACTGGGTTTGTATTGACTGTGATGCAGTCCACTTTGATTTGACTAAAAAACAAATATTGAAAAAATTCATATAACAAATGTACTGCACAGCAATTTTCTTCCAAAAGGGCAAACTTTGAACCTGACCAGTTTCCAGGTTTTTCTGTATAACTGAAGATTAGAAAAGTTGAAAACAGAAATTTTATTTGAACTGAAATTATTTTAGATTCAAATAAGACAGAAGACAAATTTAAATATTCAACTGTTACAGTGAGTATGTCAATTAAGTACACAATCACTTTGACACAAAGAAAAATAATCTCCAAACCTTGGAAGTTTCTCAGCATCCCTGCCTCTGGCTTTTAAGCCTTTGAAGTTTTTCTCCCAGTCTGACAAATCAGTGAGATTGTCCTCTACATACTGGTCAAGGTCAATCGCTCCAAGGACACACCATTCCTGTTGACAATTAAGCAAAGAAAATAATATTATAGAAAGGAAAACCTTCATTAAATCACAAATATGAGAATTTAACAATTTACTACACTGCTACAGCATTTTGCAAATTTGAAATCACAGGTGGACGTAAATGGCCTGTTTCAAGTCCCCCCCCCCCCAACTAAAAATGCAAATAAAAAAGGAAACATTTTTGCCAATGAATTTAAGCAAAATGCACATTCTTAATGTTTTTTATTGATTTTGCTCATGACTAACCTTGAATTTATGCTGAGCTGCATCAAGTCTTTTGAAGAGAGCATCAGCTTTCCTATAACACGTGATGAATCCCTCGGCGTTTCTGTCAATGATGGCGGGGAATATCAGATTGGTGGTGTCCTCTCCTACTCCTTTGAAGTTGTTGGGTATACTGATAAAGCGCTTCATCTCCCTGAAATACTTGGCTTTGATCTCCTCAAATGGAGGACGGAACTGAAGTTGTTGTTGTCTAAAAGAGGAGTAAGGAAAACATAATTTACCCAAAAATTTTATTGTCTGTAAACATTTTTTTTGTTGATAATTTACCAAAAAAAACACCCTTTATCCTGTGACATGGATAGGATTTAGTTATTATTGATCTGACCATTTACTACCTCAAGGGTTTTTTATGGATTTTGACCAAGCATTTCTTTTATTTTCAAAAATGGCCCAACTCAAAACCTTTTTTAAGTACACAATATATTTTTCTTTTCATTCCCATTATCCCATAAACAAAGGTTTGTTATTCTGTGAAAAAAAGATTTTCAATTTCTTTTGCAGTCATGGAGAAGTCAAGCAAACATTATTTTAAAGATGGCCTAGGCAGAATTTGTTATATCCTTGAATAAAAATTACTTTGCTGCAAGTGTTAATTAATTATATGTGGATTCGCTTTAGGCGTGTTTTACTGTACCTGTAAGTGAGTTCCACTTTGATTTCTGGCAGATTCTCATTAAGAGCCTCCAGTCCCATCTGATACTGATGTTCTAAAGCCTTATACAACTGTCTGTCCCAGTGGGCCTTCCAAGGCCGCATGTGGTCAGAGGAAAATCCCTGTCACATAGAAAAATTATTAAAAATACAGTGAAGTAAAATTTAAATTTCTCCTGTCTTTGTATCCAAAGAAGTAAATGGATAAGACTACACTAAAAAATTTTCATCTTAAAATTTTCACTTCAGGTCTTTTGATGAAACTTAATGTTACATTAAAATGTACATTTTCACATCAAAATGTGAGACATAATATCAGGGACACATAGACTAATTTTAGTTGGTGGTAAATTTAGCTAGTATATAAAGTGTACGTCCTAATAAACCATTATGCATATTTTCTTTTATGGTTTATTTTAATCACTGTCCATAGTATATCATGCTTGTACCTGCTGGACCAGATTTGCCATGAGGTGTCTGATTTCCATTAGCCCGTCCTTCCACTTCTGCTGCTGTCTGAGTAAGTCCACCCCCATCAATGTCTGAACCTTCTCACACACCGTCAGGTGACATTTCCTTAGTTTCCTATTCTCTGTGGTCAGCCTTTCTGCAGCCTTTTGGAGTTTGCGGATGTAGTTGTCTAGTTCCTCTGGGTCATTCCAGGTGATTTCAACATTCTCACCTTTAGTTTTGCTACCTGTAATAAAGAATATTTTTAAATGTTATGATAAGAAGCACAGATATTTAAATGTGAACAAAAAATCTGTAGAATCAAAAGGATTGTCTCTTAGACCAGGGGGCTGGGAAATTTCCTTGTCTAATATGACAAAATCCCTAAGTTATTCCATCATAACCGTCCTTTCATGGGAGGAACCTCAAATGCCTTTCTACTTTTTTTATGGTCACTTGCTATTTCATTTCTTAATGATAATTCTGAAAAATTGAGGGAAGAAATGATGATATTTACGAAAATTCCTAACCTGTTTTGGGATTCTTCACCAGTTTCTCAAAAGCAATGGCTGAATTCAACATCATAGGTTGCTGGCTTTCAATCATCTGCTGGTCCAAGGTGTTGTAGAAATGGGCCACCTGTAAAGTAGTATATTAGACACATTATTAATATTCAAGAAATTTCTCTAATAATTTTCATTTTCCACAGAAAAAGGAGCAAAGACTTATAAAAGACTGAATACAGTAAGACTTGCTTATAATGAAGTGACAGGGATGGATGATTTTGCAACATTATAAGCCTTATTCATTGTTTTTAATAGGTTAACCTATACTGTAAATGTATTATATTTGGCGTGTACGATATTTGGCGGAAACTGACTTTTGGACAAGTTAGCGTAGATTTGATTTAGCGCATTTCTTAATGTTCTTATTCATGAGTATGTGTGCAAGACATTTATTGTTGTACTTGAATTAGCGGAAGTTTCTTTCCGCCAAAGGCCCTAAAAAGAATACACAGCCAAATATAATATTTACAGTATTTTGAAGTCACAAGGGATTACAATCACTTTCTGTAATCATCAATTCATTATAAGCAGGTCTGCTATAAAGGGGCTAATTTAAGTACATGGTTTACCTGTTTCAGTACGACCCCGTGCCTGTAGAACTTTTGAGCTGTATTGCTGACATTCTGGATTTTGGCGGGGACAGCGAATCCCATTCCACTCAGCTGTCTGACCTCTCTCATCAAGGTCACCAGGCGGTCACCATAGTTGACCTGTAGCTTCCCTGTCTTATGATTCAACTCCATCAGTCTGCCATTTGTCTCAAGACTGAAATCAACCAAAATAGACCAATCATTGTTTATCCTATTTTCTACTTCATATTGTTTTTCTATCTGCTGAATTCCTATCTTTTCCATCCTTCTGTTAACAAACACTTTTATCATAAATGCCATATACAGTAAAAATATGGCAAATATAATGAATTTATGTGTACAGTAAATTGATTTTCATTTCCTGTGAAGTTTTGAAAGGTATTGTGAACTTGTGAAGCAAAATTGCATGTTCTTCACATTCTGCTAAAAGCATGTTTTACTGTACATGATACTGACCAAAGAGGTTCCTTAGGGTCACTGATCATGTCCATAATGTCTCGTGTCCAGTCATCAAACTGTTCCTGACGCCATTGTCGTAGTTCGTCCAATAGTTCCTGGGCTTCCTTACGGAATTTAGAAAATCCTGACAAATCTCCCAGTAATGTCTCCGCCGTCTTAATGGTTTCCTCAGTCTAAAGTACATGTGTGTGAAGAAATTATATGCAGAAAATCTTGAAAAATCAGTATTATTTGAAAAAACAAAACAAGTTTTTGTTTAATCAATTCCAAAACAAAAACAATCCATCTTTTATCAGCTCATTATCTATTTTTCAAGTTATTTAAATTTAATTTATACAAAGTCTTCCATTTTCAAATTTGAAAGATAAGTAATAAAAATATTAAAAATGGCAACTGGAAAAACAATTATGAAAATTTTAAAGAAAAATCTGGGAAATACATACAACATATATTTCTTATTACCTTTGCCTCTAACTGCCTGACAAACACAATAGCATTGACAATTTCTGGGAGATTTTTTCCCTTGGGAATTCCCTTGTTACCAGCTCTTTGCCCAGTCCTTTTCTGGAAATCATCCTCCGTTTCCTTTAAATTCACATTCAGTTGTCCAAGCAAAGTTTCCCTGTAATATGTTTTCAAGCATATTCAAGATCAAATGTATAAATCTTCATTAAATTACTTTCTTTCAATGGTCATAACATGGACTAGGTGAATTCTGGCAGTGTATTGATCTTAATAAAGGATGCAACTAACCTTTCAGAAACCATCTCTTTCTTTATGCTTGGTCTTTTTATCAATTCTTTATATCTTTGAAACTCTCTCAATAGCTAGAAAGAAGAAAAAAGTTAAAAACATAGAAAAATATATAAATAACCTCTTCAAAATTTTCAACACAATCTTCTGAGGGCACAACCTTACCTGCTGGGGATATCCATCGAGACCTTTGAACTGTGACCTTAACTTCCCTGCTATTTTCTGCTCCACGGGGGCCATGATTTTGTCATACTGGGCCACTGCTGCATTCCACAGGGGCATGGTGTAGGGGTTGTACTGTAGGGGGTTCAGCCCCATGAATGGATGAAAGGCCTCAGAAGTACGGAGGTCTTTCTGCTCCGATGATGACAGCAGGCGAATTTGTTGCTCATGCACTATTCTCAGGGTAAGTATCTACAATGTAAACAAAGTGCAGATTGAATGTTGGTATCTTGAACACTGATATCTTGAATACCATTGATTTGAAAATGTGAATTGGAAGTTCAAACTAAATCTTTTTCTATGTACATGTATTTTAACCTCAATAGTTTTCTCGGTCAAATTGACCTTAAGACAACAAAGTTTAACTTAATTTACATGATAATTTTTTTTTTTTGGAATGGTTGATCTTTAATTTTAAAAACGATTTTATTTCTGTTAAAAAATGAACAAAAGAAAATAATGATAAATCTTCATAAGCATAATGTTTTTTAAAAAAGTTACCTCTTCCAATCTATTTGCAAGCTGCTTCAAATTTTCAGGAACAAATTTCTCGCCTCTCCATGGATGAGCACGGAAGCTCTTCCAGAACTGAGTGGTCAGTGTTTCACACACACCTACCCATCTCTCACAGATGGCTACCCCTGACCTCAAGTCCTCCTTGACCTTTCCAAAACCCCCAGACCAAAGGTCAACTTCTGAAAGTTTTCTCTGAACATATCTTCCAAGACTTCCACCTGGAAACAATAATTAAATGAACTGTTTTAGAACCACTCATTGTATAAAATGTTGTCAACTTTAACAGTTATAAAGTCTGAATTAATTTCTTTGTAGTTGGTTAAATTCATTCACAATCAGTGAGTTTGTACAGAAAATTACTTGGAAAGAAAAGGAAATTCTTTTTCAGAATTTGCCATTTTCACGCCCAAGGTTTCCCACTTTATTTCTATTTTCCCCCTCTTAATACATGGTTCCTAACTAACTGTATAGCTAAAAGTATACAGATTTCAGATGTTGTGAAAGCATGGAAAACATACAACAAAAATTTTCTAACAATGATGTCAATGAGGCTTCTCAATCTGGGCTCAGGATAAGCCTCAAAGTGAAACAAGGAAAACATACAAAAAATTTCCTACCAATAATATCCATGAGGTGTCTCATTCTGGGCTCAGGATATGCCTCAAAGTCCAGACATTTCCAGACATCATCCAGTGTGTCCTGAGCGACCTCCACTATCTCCATGACGTCCTGCATTTCCATGGTGTCCAGCCCCCCAAACTCCTTACTGATTGGCTTAAAGAGGTCCACAAAAGTAGCAGCTCTCTCATCACTTCTGGCCATATCTCCCCAATACTGGAACTCATCCACTGGACTTAGAATACCTTAAGAATTAAAAAAAAAAATGTTTGATCAATTTAAGAATTTCTCATTTACTTCAATTCTAAATTTATACTGCATTTCTAAGGTGTTGGTTTTAAGATGTTGAGTTCTTAGTAGGACCCAATACATTTACCCTTTATTTCTATTGAGAATTTTTATTTTGATCAGTGACTCCTATTGAGTTAATCATGGATCACTGCACGTTTAGCACCCTTTTTGTCATTTTAAGATGAAGGAACAAATAATCCCCATGTTAAAAAAGAAAGAAGCTCCATACTTCCTATGTTATCAGCATTATCTCCTTTCCCTTTGAATGAAGGGTCTTGTTTCCTGATTGCACTTCCTAACCCTGCCTCAAGTTCACTGATTAAACTCTGTAACTTTGGGTCCAGGGTTCGACTCCACTTTCCATCTTCCAACATCAAGGGTGCATAGATTTTCTGCACAGCATGAAACAGTGTGTTTAGGGGTGAATCCACCATTGAAGATACAATGGTGTTTGAGTGTAGGTTATCTGGAGTGATAACATCAGGGCGGATTTTGAAAAATACAAGGACTTTTTCTTTATCCTCATTTGGCTCCAACTAAAAAGAAAAGAATAATGCCGTAGGTATTAGAATAGTTAAATGATGTCCAAATATAAAATAAAGGTTTGAATCACATAAAAATGTCTTCCAAATATTACATGATGTTCATTAGTAAAATTGTTAAAAGGCTATATTGACACAGCATTTATGAAACTTTTTTTTTGATCATTTGTCATCTGAATCACCATCACCAAGTCATCATTCAAAAAATATGTAATAGGTTAACTAGATGAAAAATATGCTAGATTGTACCTTATTTGTGAAGGCAAGTCTCTTGGCATTTCCCCTGGTTTCGATTCTTCCTGCACACAGATCGATGTTTCCATCGTCAAGGAAGCTGTTTAATGCAGAGGAATCCTGTAGAGCAGTGATCGCTGCATCAGTTACCCCCAGTCCAAAATAATTTGCTGTTGTAGCAAGGATGTAATCCTTCCTAGAATCACCTGTCGGCATCTTTTACTCTGGTAAAATTAAAATATACCCTGATTTGAATAATGTTTTGAGAATTTATAAATATATGGAAAATCATATGAGGAAAAAGAGAAACGTGGGATAAATGGAGGTTCTTTTTTAATATGAAATTTTACCTATAATTTTAAATCTCCCACAAACATGTGGGTGCATACAAGCCTGTCATACTGCCGGTAAATAATCCTTGATAACCCTTACCTTGGTACATACACTTGTTAGAAAGTTTATCCTAAGCCCAAGTACATGTACATTCTAACTCAGATTATGACATTTAGAACTTAGATGTAAGAACCCCCTCCTCTTTGGTTACTCTAAATTTGTAACTTTTTACAATTTTGGGGGATTAAATGTAAACGAAACACATTTAGATGGTAAGTGATATACAAAATTTATCTTTAGAAATGCATGATGATCCGTAATATTATTACCTGATTGATTAAACTGCTAATTCCAAAAACCCATGTCTGCAATTTTGCAAACCTGCCTGGAATGCAAGAACCAAGGCAATGTAACAAATATTTTGATTGGTTGAGCTGGACGCCGCACCGAATCAGCGAATCAAAATAGTTTTTCTTAAATGATCATGGACTGTGTTGACAAACTCAGACGCATGCTCATCGACATTTCCGGTGGGTTTCTTCCAAAAGTTACAGAAGGTACAATCGTAAAAAAAAATTGCCTTGGTAAGCAATTAAAAACATATTCATATATCTCCTAAATTCAGTCATATATTGCAATTAAATTATGTTGTTTTAGGATTTTATAGCTCATAAAACCGTAAAATTTAGTCAATAATCTTAACTGTCAGACCGTCCAAATTGGTCGATACAGTAGCAGAAAAAAATATCAATGTAAAGATTTTCCCTTCAATATTATAATGAAGCATTCTCGTTTAAACAAAGAAGGTATATAAAGATTTTCTACGTTATTGAATTAACATGCTCTTCTTGATTTGAAGGATACTGAGTTAACGTGTATAACCTATCTGAATGCATGGATAATCCTTACATTTTGTACATATATGTTGGGCTTGTTAAAAAAAAAACAACAAACAGAAAAAATCAAATATTTATAATGTACTTTATTTGCCATTTGGGCAATGCTATTTTCCTTCTTTATTTATGTTGAGTATTAGAGAGGAGACCCCCCATGCTCCAGAAAATTCATGAGATGCTCTCAAACTCAAGGCATATATACAAAAATTCACAACCACCCCAAACCTTTGTTGTTACTCTAGTGTTTAAGAGCCTCTGTTAACTCAACGCTCCATAATATCACCTCACAACGGAGTTGGAGAAGAGGTTGTAATTTAACTCAATCTTGTATGCGTTTGCTTGGGTGTAGGGTGGTTTCGCGCCGATTACGTGTTCGCGCCGAGTGGTGTCGCGCCTAGTGGTTTCGCCCCATTTATCTACAGGTAAGATATGGGTAGTATACAGAATGAATTCCCCACGATTACCTGTAATTATAACTTAGTCGTTTGTAATTAATCAACCCCAAGCGTTAATGTCGTGTTATGTCGGATAATTATCCCACTTTGTATTTATACTTATAGTGAGGCCATTTTTAGCCAAATCATGACTATTTGAACAAATTTGATCGCCTAATTTGGAATAATTTAGGACTGGATGTTAAAATAAATAAATAATACATGTGTATAAATTTATCATAACCTTATTGCTAGTCATGTACAAGTAATATTAAAATTAATACACGTGTTTAATATCTACTATATAAAAGAATAAAATAAGAATACTGTCAACTGATATTATAGGAAATTATACCTGCCATTGGAATCTTTTTGATCAACAATTTCCCATTTTTATGTTCTATAATAATTTGAATTTTGTTAATTTTCATTATAGCGGTATCTTCAGTAATACAGTGGCGCGAACCCACGTGGGGCGAATCCACTCGGCGCGAACACGTAATCAGAGCGAAACCACCCGCATTCGTTTGCTTGTGGGTGTGTTAAGTCCTGTGTGAAGCAGAAGTGATGTAATTTGCATCAGGGAGGATGTCGAATCAGTGGAATGCTCTCATGATTTACAGATATGTCCTTTGCGAGGGGATGCTGTGTTTTCTGGTGTCTTTGTTTAGTTTTGTAGTACCAAAATGTAAGAACCTAAATCATACCTGTCAACTCTCCCGAATTTATCGGGAGTCTACTGATTTTTAACCATCCCTACCGACTGTCTACCGAATTTTTTTTTAACTGCCGTTTCTACCGATTTTGAAAAAATCCGGATTTTTTATGTACTTCGGTTTGTAAAATACCAACTAGTCAACACAAAAATGGATGTCATGCAGTGCATATCGGTAGCTAATCTGTTTATTGCCACTGATAACAGGTAATCAACAAAGTGTCAACTGTGCTAGCAGATGTAATTGCAGTTGTAATTATATTATCAAAGACAGAGATGCCAGATGTGAAAATTTTTACAGAACATGACGGTAAATAACGATATGGAAGTACTTGATACTTTTCTGCAAATAAGTTTACAAGTGCGTATGACAAAACTATTTCTCCATAAACAATGCAGTGATCAGGAAAGTTGTAGCTACAGTACTCTATTATTAATTTAACAAGGAGAGGGAAACAATTTCATGGAAGCTAATATAAATGAAGAGTCTAAAAATTTCCCCACAGATTTTGAGATTCAATGTCTTAGTAAATCCTGCATCAACATCAGCATATAACAGTCCCTGAAACTACAGAGCAACAAGACAGTGTGTTTAGAAGACTTCTTTAAATTTACAAAGCTAAACAGGGTAATGCATTTCTAAAATTAAAAAATATAAAATTCGCACATTAGAACATTATTTAAATAAAGTATTATATTTAAAAATTCTGATATATTTATGTTATGAGATTAAAAGAAAAAAAATACAGGGTCCATATATTTCATTCATACTTGATTACACATTATTTTAAGAATATAAGCATGAAGTTTTGACAATTATTTCAATTTCAGATCTTAAAATCCAGGACACAACTCATGTTCCTTAGACTTAGTGAGAAAAATCCACTCATACATCTATTAAAAGCTGGAAACTCAGACTGTCTGCAGAACCTTATTAATTTTTCTAATTGCCAAGTTCAACTACAACATTTGCCATGAATTTTATATAAATTATGCTCTTATGGACAGACAGAATAGATAGTGAACATAAATTTTTATATATAATTTCAAAATTAAATCACATTGTACAAGTGTCTAAACAATGTATGAATTAATAAACTAAATTTCATGAATTAATGATAATGTTAATATTAATAATAAAGGTTTATCTTGTAAGTTGTTTATTTTTGTTCTATAAACAGTGAAATGCGCGACTTTTTGTATTTGCAAGAGGTCGTCGCGCGTTTTCTCCCCCGAAAAATTTTGGCCATGTTGACAGGTATGCTAAATTGCCATGAACATACTGGGTACCTGTACAATACGTAGACAATTTGAAGGAGAAACGAATTACAATTTAGACAATTTGAGAAAATATAATTTACAATGTTATTAGACACTTTGAACAAGGTACAATTTACAAAGTAGAAAGTTGGAATAACTAGATACAACTTACAATGTAGACAATTATTGAATTGAAGACAAATGTTTTAGTTTTCTCTACTGATACCATTTCTTAACATCTTTCAGAACTATCAATGCCTGTCCAGTAACTTTCACTCTGGAGGAGGAGAAGACAGGTCCATACTTAGATAGGAGGTTCACATCTCTGGTAAGTATGTATATACATGTACTTAGTATGTACCATGAGTACCCAGGGGTATGTATTTACCCTGTGAATTTTTAGCTCTACTGGTCAGAGACCAGAAGAGCTTATGCGATAGTAAGGTGTCCGTCGTCCGTCTGTCTGTCTGTCTGTCTGTCTGTCTGTCCGTCTGTCTGTAAACAATTTTTCAAAACGCTACTCCTCCTACAGTTTTGGTCTGATTTTAATATAACTTGGCACACAAGAAGACTACACTAAGATACATAAAATAGTGCATCAGTGTTTGATTTCGCTGAACGGTGTTGCCATGGTTACTAAAAATAGAATTTCCTGTGAAATTCCTTTAAAACGCTACTCCTCCTACAGTTTTGATCTGATTTCAATATTACTGGGCACACAAGTAGACTACACTAAGATACATAAAGTGGTGCATCGGTTTTTGATTTCGATGAACGGTGTTGCCATGGTTACTAAAAATAGAATTTTCTGTGAAATTCCTTTAAAACACTACTCCTCCTACAGTTTTGGTCTGATTTCAGTATTACTTGGCACACAAGTAGACTACACTAAGATACACAAAATAGTGCATCGGTTTTTTATTTCGATGAGCGATGTTACCATAGAATTTTCTGTGAAATTCCATTTAAATGCTACTCCTCCTACAAATTTGGACTGATTTTAGTATTACTTGGCACACAAGTAGACTGCACTAAGATACATAAAATTATGCGCCGGATTTAGATTTCAATGAACGGTGTTGCCATGGTTACTAAAAATAGGATTTTCTGTGAAATTCCTTTAAAACGCTACTCCTTCTACAGTTTTGGTCAGATTTCAATATTACTTGACACACAAGTAGACTACACTAAGATACAGAGTGCATCTGTTTTTGATTTCGATGAACGGTGTTGCCATGGTTACTAAAAATAGAATTTTCTGTGAAATTCCTTTAAAACGCTACTCCTACAGTTTTGGTCTGATTTCAATACAACTTGGCACACAAGTAGACTACACTAAGATACATAAAATAATGCATCCATTTTTGATTTCGTTGAACAGTGTTGCCATTGTTACTAAAAATAGAAATGTTTGAAATTCTTTTAAAACGCTACTCCTTCTACAGTTTTGGTCTGATGGCAATGGCTTCTTTTCTCATCCTTTGTTATAAGTACAAACCAGTAGAGCTACAGTCTCGACAGAGACTTCTGGTTCTTTTTGTTTTATAAAGTTCCTAGCTGTAGGTTTATTATACCCTCCGCTTGAAAAGCAGGAGGGTATATAGTAATCGTTAATTCTGTCCGTCTGTACGTCTGTCCGTCCGTCCGTCTGTTACACTTTGGGGTACCCATCTCTTATCCGCAACTCCTCTCATACCACTGAATGAAATTTGATGAAACTTTCACAGAATCTTTATTACATATTGCCATTGTGCACCTCCTATTTTACTTTTTGATCCAACACATATTTTGGGTTTCCCGTCCACAGCAATACATGGACTTTGCCATTATAACTATATGGAGGCGGGGGGTATCATTTAGTGAGCTCATCGCTCACAGTACCTCTAGTTGTATTCATGAATGTTATCTTCCACTGAATTGTATATGAATTTAAGGCTGTATCAGAAGAAATTTAATAAAGCAAAAAAATTTTTTTTGGTATCAGTTTAGTGGAAAATTGATTGTCATTAGCAAATTAGATATACAGTAAAACTTGTCTAATCCAGCCACCACTGGTCTGGTTCCAAAGATATTGGTCAGATTAAACAACATTCCCAATTGGACAACATTCTAAACAATTGAAATTACTGATAATTTTGAATAAGACAAGATTTCTGAATACTGTAAATCACTTTTTATTCGCGAGAACTTTATTTTCGCGTAATTACGCGAGACAGTGCATTCGCGAAAATTTAATTCTCGCGTATAAAAGTATTCCTTACGATTATATAGAGGAATAAAACCTATTCGTGAAAATTATATCTCGCTTACAATGAGTCAATGACAATCTCGCGAAAATAAGGTGTCGCGAAAATTAAGTGATCTACAGTAGACAACCTTCAAATAGACAAGTTTCACTGTAGATGACATTTGGGATAAATTGACCAGCTGTTTTGTCAATGGGATTTACAAGTGGTTTGTAAATTTTCAATGTACCATTTAACCTTGTAATCTACTGTAAAAATGAACCAAAACTCATATTTCTGGTGTAGTTAAAAAAAAAATTAACTAATGATGACTATTTTTTGCTTAAGTCTCTTGGAGAGAGGAATTCACTAAATAATCCAGAAATTTGGAGTAACTGCACAAATTACTTCAGTATGCCCATAAGAAGAAAACGAAGTTCACCTACCTCAGATGATCCAAGGAATAAAAAGGCAAAGGTTTCTACATGGTAGGCCATTGTTTTGCTGAAATTGCTTTGTCTTCCTTGATTTAATTGCAATACCATAATTCAATACTTTTGAAAATTTCAAATTCTAGGCAGCTTGCATATAAGCTTTGAGAAAAGTTGATGCTCACCTCACTGAATTTGAATTATGTTTATGCACTGACACATATAAAATTACAAATACAACAGTAAAAATATGTTTTGTTGGAAATAAAATAGTGTGAAAATAATGATTAGTACCTATGAATTAATTCCGAGCTAGTAGATTATTTTTTTGCTACATTTTATCTACAGAGCATTTTCACTAAAGGAATTTTTTGATTGAAAAAGTGATGAGTACAGATACCTAACTTATTTTAAATTACATGTACTTTCAGGTCAAGACGTAATGAACTAGAAAATGATTTCAGTTCAAAGCGATGCATATCTTGGTTCCATGAATACACAGGTATATAATTATAATCATTTTATTATCCTGAGCATCCACTCATTTTCTTTGATTTATTTTATTAGCTTACCCGTGCTGAAGGCTCAAGTGAGCTTTTTAGCTCACCTGAGCCGAAGGCTCAAGTGAGCTTTTCTGATCACATTTTGTCCGGCGTCCGTCTGTCCGTCCGTCTGTCTGTCTGTAAACTTTTCACATTTTCGACTTCTTCTCAAGAACCGCTGGGCCAATTTCAACCAAACTTGCCACAAAGTATCCTTGGGTGAAGGGGATTCAAGTTTGTTCAAATGAAGGGCCACGCCCTTATTCAAGGGGAGATAATTGGGAATTAATGAAAATTTAGTGGTATATTTTAAAAATCTTCTTCTCAAGAACCACTGTGCCAGGAAAGATGAAACTTATGGGGAAACATCCTCAGGTAGTGTAGATTCAAGTTTGTTCAAATTATGACCCCGGGGGGTAGGGCGGGGCCAAAATGGCCGACCAAAGTTTTACATAGAAATATATAGGAAAATTCTTTAAAAATCTTCTTCTCAAGAATGACAAAGCCATAATTCACCATATTTATATGGGAGCATGCTCATGTAGTGTAGATTCAAGTTTGTTCAAATCATGACCCCCCGGGTAAGGGCGGGGCCAAAATGGCCGACCAAAGTTTTACATAGAAATATATAGGAAAATTCTTTAAAAATCTTCCTCTCAAGAATGACAGAGCCATAATTCATCATATTTATATGGAAACATGCTCAGGTAGTGAAGATTCAAGTTTGTTCAAATCATGACCCCTGGGGGTAGGGCGGGGCCAAAATGGCCGACCAAAGTTTTACATAGAAATATATAGGAAAATTCTTTAAAAATCTTCTTCTCAAGAAAGACAAAGCCATAATTCATCATATTTATATGGAAACATGCTCAGGTAGTGTAGATTTAAGTTTGTTCAAATCATGACCCCCGGGGGTAGGGCGGGGCCAAAATGGCCGACCAAAGTTTTACATAGAAATATATAGGAAAATTCTTTAAAAATCTTCTTCTCAAAAATGACAAAGCCATAATTCATCATATTTATGTGGAAGCATGCTCAGGTAGTGTAGATTCAAGTTTGTTCAAATCATGACCCCAGGGGGTAGGGCGGGGCCAAAATGGCCGACCAAGGTTTTACATAGAAATATATAGGAAAATTCTTTAAAAATCTTCTTCTCAAGAATGACAAAGCCATAATTCATCATATTTATATGGAAGCATGCTCAGGTAGTGTAGATTCAAGTTTGTTCAAATCATGACCCCGGGGGGTAGGGTGGGGCCAAAATGGCCGACCAAAGTTTTACATAGAAATATATAGGAAAATTCTTTAAAAATCTTCTTCTCAATCATTTTCTAAAAAATAGCAAATCCATGATTGGTCATGGGACTACTTTTGGATTGAAACTTTACAATAAAAAGCCATTTTATACTAGTCCTACCCTTGGTGCTCAGGTGAGCGATGTGGCCCATGGGCCTCTTGTCTGATGTAAATTTTGTCCATCATCTGTCATCATCATTGTTGTAAACTTTTCACATTATCATCTTCACCTCAAGAACCACTGGGCTAATATCAACCAAACTTGCCACAAAGTATCCTTGGGTAAAGGGGATTCAAGTTTGTTTATATAAAGGGTCAAACCTTCTTCCAAGGGGAGATAACTGCGAATTGGCATCTTTTAAAAAATCGTCTCAAGAACCACTGTGCTAGAAAATATGAAACTTAAGGATAAATAACACAAACAAACCTTTTTCAGAAATCAGCATTATTTCTCATAGATTTACATTTAAATTGACAACCTGAATAATATTTACCAAGTAGATTGGGATAATTATATAAGATTTTGTCATAAGGTTAAAAAATTGTGCAAAATTTTGTATGGAATTATATAGAAGGCAAAACAAAATTTCATATCTAAGCACCAAGGAAAACCTACGATTTCTTTATATTTCAGGGATTTATTATTTATGTCATTTCAAATCAAAATCAGTCAAAAAATATATATCACCCCGCACTTCCATTTTTTGTTTGTGGTAAGTACCCTTAAGTGGAAGCATCCTCAGTTAGTGTAGATTCAGTTTTGTTCAAACCATGACCCCTGGGGTAGGGTTGGGCCACAGCAGGCGATCAAGGTTTTAGATAGGAATATATAGGGAAAATCGTTAAAAAAATCTCAAGAACAGCAAAGCCTTGACTGGTTATATTTATATGGAAAAATCCTCAGGTAGTGTAGATTTAAATTTGTTCAAATCATGACCCAAAGGGGTAGGGTGGGGCTACAATGGGTGATCAAAGTTTTACCAGGAGAAACTTAGTTTTCATGCACATGAAGAAAATGTTTTAGTTCATTAATGTTCAATCTCTTAATTTACAGATACTGATGAAGATGTATTAGGTCCAGAGGGAATGGAAAAATTCTGTGAGGATATTGGTGTGGAGCCAGAAAATGTAAGTACATATAAATGTGAGTACTGGTCAAATCTTTGAGGAGAGAGGATTTGATTGGATTTCATTTGTATGAATGGTGTAACTTACTTTGTGAGATTTGCTGGTTATAAACAATTTTTGTAAGTTTACAAATCAGTAAGATTATTGAAAATATATAATTAAAATTTAATTTCCAACATAAACACCCAAAATATGTAGAATATAATAAATATAGAATACAATAAACAGAATACTCATAAATACATACCAATGAACTCATAGAATGTTTATAAAACTTTCATTTCGAAACTTTGTAGATAGTCATGTTATGTTTAGCATGGAAGCTGGAGGCTAAATCTATGGGTTTTTTCACAAAAGCTGAGTGGTTAAAAGGAATGACGGAACTTCAGTAAGTAAAGGAGCCATTGTCAATGATTTCGGCAAATATCATTCCACATGAGTGACTTTTTATGTCAAGTTTGAATACCTATCAGCACACATGCATAATCGTTTACAATACTTATGCTGAATTTTTGTACCTTTTAGCCTGGTGAATTTTATAAAATATAGCATTTGACTTTATCAGACTGTTTTGTGTGATTTATTTTATTAACTCTTATGTATGAATATGTACATGTCTATAATATTAATATAAGATATTGACCCTTTACAGGTGTGACTGTATATCAAAGCTACAAGGTCGCCTTGAGTACTTACGGTCAATGCTTGATGATCCTGTACATTTCAAAAACATCTACAGATATGCATTCGATTTTGCAAGGGTAATTCTTTTTAGGCCATAATAAAAATATTAGATACCTCTTTTTTTAATTTCTGTTTTTCTTCGATCAAATTATCATTTACATACATGTTAATCTTTTTTTTTTTTTTTTTTCGTTTTTTATTCCATTGATGTCAACATGATATAGACAGCTGAAAAGATTGTAATTGCTGTAATACATGCGTAAACAAGGGTCATTGGTTTTGAAAAAAAAATTGTTGATGATGTGAACTTGTTCCTGTATTAAATTATTAAAACACAATATTTGATTCTTGCAGAACAAAGACCAGAGAAGTATGGATGTAGAGAAAATGCTGGGTCACTTCTGAAACACTGACCACTGTTTGTCAATAAAAAAGTAAGTCAACCCAGTTAAAACAAGGACACTAAATTACTTCTTTTTCACAGGCTTTTCAAAATCTGTCAGTACCTGTCAGTGATTTGTCATGATTGTCCCAGCCAAAATATTGAAGGAAAAGAAATTTTGATAATTTATTTAATTAAAATCAATTTCACAAAGTGTCTTCTATATTTATAAAAGTACCATCTGTTTCTAACCTTTTGAGGTTACCTTTTCATATGACTTTAATATTTTTTTGATAATTATTATATTAATGATTGTTTCCCTTTATATATTTTCAAAATTTTTTTTTTTTTACAGCAATCCAAGTACAAAGTGATCAATAAGGATCAGTGGTGTAATATTTTCTCACCTTCCAGCTTTTTGAAGATTTAAAAAAAATTTTCTATTCATCTTTTTGTACTTGTATTGTGTATTAAATTATAATCCCTTGATATTTGAATGTGACTTCTTTCTTTTGGGAATGATTTGGTCTATTAATCTCTTGGAAACATGCTTGAATTCATGGGATTTCTTTTGGGAATGATTGGGTCTGTTATCATGGTTATGTTATGGCTGACAGCTAAAGCAATGCTGGAGCTTTTCTACTTTGTCCGTTGTCTGTAAACGTTGTCGTTGTTGCCACTGTTTCGTTGTAAACTTTTCACATTTTCATCTTCTTCTCAAGAACCACTAAGTCAACAAACTTTTACAAAGTATCCTTGGGTGAAGGGGATTCCCCCTTGTTCAAAGGCCTTTCAAAATTTGAATAAGAGAAAAATTATTGGCATTTTAAAAAAATCTTCTTCTCAAGAACCACTGGGCCAGGAAAGATGAAACTCATGTGGAATCATCCTCAGGTAGTGTAGATTCAAGTTTGTTCAAGTCATGACCCCTGGGGGTAGGGCCGGACCAAATTGGACGATCAAAGTTTTACACAGGAATATATAGGAAAAATCTTTAAAAATCTTCTTCTCAAGAACCACTGGACAAGGAAAGATGAAACTCATGTGGAATCATCCTCAGGTAGTGTAGATTCAAGTTTGTTCAAGGAAAGCAAATGGCTGATCAAAGTTTTACATAGGAATATATAGGAAAAATCTTTAAATGACTTCTTCTCAAGAACCACTGGACCAGGAAAGATGAAACTCATGTGGAATCATCCTCAGGTAGTGTAGATTCAAGTTTGTTCAATTCATAACCCCTTGGGGGTAGGGCGGGGCCAAAATGGACGATCAAAGTTTTACATAGGAATATATAGGAAAATCTTTAAAAATTTTTAAACACTGGGCCAGGAAAGATCCAAGTGGAATCAAAGTGAGATTCAAGTTTGTTCAAGTCATGACCCCTGGATCAGTGGTGTAATATTTAGATGGGAATATGTAGGAAAATCTTAAAAAATCTTCTTCTCAATTAACATTGAATCAGGAAAGATGAAAGTAATATGAAATTATCCTCAGGTAATGTAGATTCATAACTTGTTCATTATACCTGTAAGGGTGTGGCTTGGTTTTACATAGAAATATATAAACCTTTTATCTTCTTTTCAACACTTCAAAGCCATGATGTGACTTCTATTTATATGGAAATTATTAATGTAGATTCTATTATTTTTATCTCTTGGGGGTATGCTTGAACTTACATGGAATGTGTTTTTTTTTTGGGAATGTTCTGGGTCTATTATGGCCCCTGGCTATTGTTTATCAATGTATACATCAATTAATTAACATCATTATACTTACCAGTGTACATTTCTGAATTTCAGGGCCAGTTTTATTGGATGAATTTGTGGAGTGGTATCGAGAAAACAAATCCATGTCCAGTTGATCATTCCGAACCAATGTCTTTCAGTGCTTTCGGTACCAGTATCCACTGTGTCAGCCAATCACTTATAGTGCTTTTCCATGAGGAGTGATTAGTTGCACAAAAATTGGGCATTGAATTTGAAGATTGAAAGGGGTGACAATTAAATCTGCATCTGATACGTGCTATTTACTGTGGAATGTGCTGGTATACTTGGAAGTGAAAACATGTTTATTTTTAGTGCTAAAAACTTAGGGTTTTTATTAAACCATCTTATGTGCTATATGTTATTGTAATATAAAGAGAATCTTTATATATTTAAAAAAAATTATTAAAGTGTATAATGTATAATAACATCAGTGTATGTAAGAATCCTACAAATTTATATTTATACTTTGAGTTTATCAGCGTAATACCCATTTCTCTCTGTATATTCCACTACCGCAATTAGAGTAATTTTGATAGATGGCATTGCTCACTTCTTTTTTTTAAGCAGATTTGTACCTAACTATGTAATGACATTTTCAGTGAATTATACATGCATTTTTGAATTCATTATCTAGTCTGTTTCATCACAACCTTTGTGTTCATTATGCATATGCAAAGTGATTTCCTCAGAAAACATATTACATTTTATTTTTTTTTTTACTGTTGTTTATCATACCATGAATGCTATTTTGTATTTCAGAAAAAGAATCATATATTTCACTTACCTCAAAATTTCACATTTAAGATGATTAGTTTGCACAACTTTCAAAGTCTTACATTCTTTTGAATTTGAGGGTATTTTCAGTGTATTGATGCTAGGAATTTTATTTGCCACCATTTTTTTTAATGGCCAGTAAATCTTTATTATAAAGTCTGTTTTTGTTTGGCATTTCAAATTGATGATGTGCAGGTACATGTAGTTTAAGAGGGGGAGTGTTGTCTTCCTGTAAGTGACATTTCTTGCCATTGTCAAAATTTTGTTCTCACCATAAATAGCTACACATCCCCAGTTTTGGACAAGAAATGCAGATAGAATGATTGTCAACATGTGTATTTTCTGAAAGCATTGAAGATACCAAAGAAGCTCTGTTGGGTATTTGTGTTTTGTTTTATTTATGCTCAAAATATTGTTCCTCATAAGCAGATGTTTTAGTTCAAGAGAAGATAGGAATTACCTACCTTTGTAGATCAAGCTATTTTGTCACACCAAGAGAATTATAAGTGTCTTTTATATTTTGTTGATATTGTAATATTAATTTAGTGTAAGTGCTGAAGTTGTCAATTTTTGTGACACATCCCTCCATACCCCCACCCCCTTGCAAGCTATACACAATTATCAGGTTTTGTTGAAATGACAAAAAATAAATAGAAATATAGGAATATTTTGCTGTAGATCACTTATTTTTCGTGACACCTTATTTTCGCGAGATAGTCATTGACTCTTTATTAGCGAGACAAAATTCTCATGAATTGTGGTCATTGCTCTATGTAATCTTATGGAATTCTATTATACGTGAGAATGGAATTTTCACGAGTATACCGTCTCACGTTATTATGCGAGAATAAAGTTCTTGTGAATAAGTCCTAGTTTTATATGTACATGTATTTCTTCAGACAAAATTTGCAATAATATGCATATGTGCTGTGTAAACTACCTATGCAAAGATTAGGATATAGTGTCTAGTTGTCTGTTTCCAAATCAAAATATTAAAATGTCAGCATAATAAAATGTTTATAGTTTATCAAATAAATGATGACTTTAAAGATACATATAAATTTTGAAAAATTGTTAACCTTTAGTTTCAAATTGAATAGGGGAATTTTTTTAATCAGTCTATAACCTGGTATTATATGTAGTATGACTTAAAAAGTTCTTAAAAGTTTGTTTCATAATTATGAACATTAATTTAAAAAGGGGGTGTTATACATTACTAATTATTGAAAGAAAGAAAAAAAAACATGCTAGGACAGAGATTCATTTTTTTTGTGATTTCTTTTCTTAATGTAAAGAAATATTTCTTTATATAATATATAAAATATATCATAAAATGTGTATCCCATGGGATTAAGCATATTGGTTAAAGCAGATTTTCGATTATAACTTTTGTCTTTTGTTCTTGTATAAATGGTTGTAATTGCAAGAAGAATATACAACTTACATAATTTATGATGCTTCCCAAGTATTTCAATGTCTTTCCACCATTTGATTATCAAGCATTTGAATTATAAATTTTACCTTAAACTAGAGGCACCTACATGGAAACATTGCATTTGAAAAATAAGTCTGCATGTATATCATATCTTTATTGAAAAATATGTCTGTATTAATATTTCATCATATCTTTACTTCTGCATTTACCAAGATTTCTTCCTATGACTGTCAGACTTAATATTACCAATTTCTTCTGTTGACACACTGAATTAGCTCAAAATTTAACTCAAAATTAATGACACATTGTATTGATCATTTATGTACAAGGTTTTGGTAAATTTTATTTTTAACCTTAATAGAATTAATTATCAGATGTAAACCAAATATAAATAACATGAACAATATGTGCATTATGTGAGATTTTGTATTATATAGTATATTTTATGTATTGTTGAAATATGTATCTGTATACATGTAGTTGAGTACAATATTGAATATAGAAGGGACATACTTTGATATATCAGTAATGCAGTACTTCTTGTGAATATTACAATACAATATATTGTCTTACATGTACGTAGTCTTTTTATTAATAAGAAAAAAATATCAGATGTATGTGAGTTATTGATTGTCAGTTTTGATGTTTAAGTTAGACAGTTGAGAATGCAATTTATTGAAATTTGAATGAAAACTTGTTTGTTGAAAATGAATGAAAAACGGTTTGATTTTAAACTGGGTTAGATTTTAAATTCACTGACTTGATGTTAAAAAAGATAGTTGTCAGAAGTTCAATGTTTTATGTTAAGGAATGCATGATAGTCAAGATTGTTGCGATTGATTTTTACATATTTGTTCAGCGTGTCATGGACCTCCTTGTACAAATGTGTTTGTTACTGATGACACTATAAAGTTCTTGACTTATTTCAGTTATTTTCATCATGGAAAATGTTTTTGCACATAAAATAAATTGAATCAACAAATAAACGAGCATATTGTGTGAAGTTTGGTCCCTAAATGCATGGATTCTCAGGTTGTGAAAGTTTTGTTTTGATTTAAACCATCTGTGCGATTCTGACATCATGAAATGTAACTAAAGAGGTAGAACTAAAATGCGTTCATCAATCTAAGCCAGGGGTTGATAAGTTTGCTTTAATTTTCCCAATTAACTTCATTTTACTGTTAGCTTTTATCGTCTCAAATTTGTTTACGACAAAGGCAGCCCAAGGTATTGGATTTCTCAATGGGATTAGCTAATTGATGACACAGACGTTAACACACCAAGCTAGAATCCCCGTCAATGAACATAATAACATGATGACAAATCTGTGAAATTTTCTTACGCTTGTAAAGATGCATATAATTTGTTCACCATAGTGTACAAGACTACGTGCTCATTGTATGGTGTTCCACGTGTTTAAAAAGACAATGCCATATTTCAATGCAAACTAGAAAAAAATTCACTACTTTGTTGATCAGTTGAAAGTGACTGACTAAAGAGCTTACTGCATGTAGAAGTATATTATTAGTCACATTTCTCGCTAATACGTTTACGTCAGATCTCCACCCAGTTATAGGGAATTCCAACTGAGTGCAATTAATTGCCTTTATCAATCAGAGAGTCCATTCATACTCTACAGCGATCGATGTTTACTTTCATAGTTACTCAAAAACGTATGTTTTTCTGTTTATTACTCTGACGTTTATTAGAAGCAATTATTTCAGTACTTAGTAAAGCGATTATACGGATCTCTGTGTTGTTAACTTTTCCAATTTATCACAGATAAACTTTCTATTTGTCGGAAAAAAATATATTACTTTTAAATAAGATTTAATCTCGAACAATTGATTTGCTATAAAATAGCACGTCACAATGCGTTGCTAGATCTTAGTGAGCATTTGTGTGAGTACTATTATGACGTCACAGTAGTTCTGACGTGTGCGTCGATAAGTCGACCAAAACAAAACCGAGAAAAACAATAAAAATGGCATCAAATTTGGAGCAGATGTCAGTACTGAAGAGAGTTCCTTTTCCTGGGCACATGATTAAACCAAGGTGGAAGTATTTGAACGGAACATCGCTTTCTGAACTTCAAGTGAAAACGTATTTAATTCAACATCCAAAAGTCTTTGAAAACTTTGTGCTGGAATCCGTCTCGGAATCAAAACTGGAAGAACTGTTACAAATGAAAAGAGACCGTCCTTGCATTACAGCTATTGGTGAACAGTCCATTGCTTTACAGTCACTTTATCTCAAGGACCGAGTCAAAGAAATAGCAGAGGTTTTAACCACCAGTTACAACGAAAAGGATCAACAAAGACGCATGGTTGAAACAACACACGTTTTAGGACGCGCCATAAATGCCAATGATTTTGCGTTTTACGTGCCAACACATAATGAAACCATGCTGTCTCTGTACCATGATGGAGAATTGGTACCGTGCGGCCCCGTGGGTAAAAATCTGACTGTTGCCGCTCACGCTGTGTCGGAAAAGAAGACCATAGTTGTTCGAGATTTGCAAATGGACCCAAGGTACTTACTTTATAAATATTATGAAAACGTAATCTATTGAAAATTCAAATGATGCAAGTCTTGTTGCTTCATATTTTTTTGGTAGGATATAGAGATTTAACAATAATCACTGAATGTCTTGCGTGGACTAGTTACGTGTTAAGATTCTATTGGGTTTTTTTCCTTGTTACAACGCACTTTCGAAAATTACGCACTTTGAAATTTTTTGTCAAAATGCATTGATTTTGTCCCAAATTTAGCGCACTTTGATTTTTTTTTAAAAAGTGCGTTATTTTTTCAAAGTGTGTTGCCACAAACCCTGCAGACCTAGAAGTTAAATAACTTCTCAAGTACATGTGTATCTAGAGAAAACAAAGCGAAAATCGGAACTTAAGTTATAATGTTTACTCAGTTATAAGTTCCATAGTACTGTCTGATTTCCTAATAGCGTAGAGTTATGTAACCAGAAAAAGTAATAAATTTCCTAATATGGTTAATTTAACCCGTATAGTTAAAATAATGGAAAACATTTCGACATTAGATACATTTATCAATCTCTCAATCGTTACATACTGTAAATCAACTTTTATTCGCGACGATTTTATTTTGCGATTTAACGGGTATAAAGTAGTTCGCGGTGATTAATTTTCGCGACCAAGCTTATTTTAGATCTGTTGTTAATAGGTATATAGACTGTAAGAACCGGTTCGCGGCGAGAAATATTCGCGATGAAGGGGGTCTCGCGAACATCGCTAAATTTCTTGCACGCGAATAAAAGTTGGTTTACAGTATTCTGTTTTAAATATCAATCAGTAATTCAAAGGCAAATGAAAAAATAAATGAAATTTAGATTTTTGCCTTAAGGTTGTTTGCTTTCAAATCTGCTTTTTAAAAAAATACAAGTTTTAACCATGGCAACATCTTTTGGAAGGGATTTTACGTATCACAAGTGTATTCTACAGTGGCGGATCCAGAAATTTTAAAAAGGGGGGGCCCGACCAGTTTGAGGTCAGGGTAGGGGCCCACAGCCACACCAAAAAAACGTTGTTTTATCAAATATTGTGTATTTTTTGGAAATCAAAAAATAAATGAAATTTAGATTTTTGCCTTAAGGTTGTTTGCTTTCAAATCTGCTTTTAAAAAAATACAAGTTTTAACCATGGCAACATCTTTTGGAAGGGATTTTACGTATCACAACTGTATTCTATGTGCCCAAATTTTTATTAGGTACCCTTTTCTTACCTCTTTGTTCCCACATTTATTCAAGTACGAGTTTTTTTACCTCTTGATTTTTGAGTTTGGCCTATTTTTGAAACGTGCCATAACTTTTGAATGGTGGGTGCTATATACTTTATAGATTAGATATTTATTTCTTGTGACATAATCTTCCTTTATGTGCCGACATGTTTACCCCATAAGCTTGACAGAGTATGGCCTATATTTGAAAAAAAAAAATAACATTGTCTATAACCTTTGAACGTCTACTGCTAGGACTTTCTCAAATTTCACCTATGGATCTCCCCAAAGGATATTATGATTTTTCCCTGTCCGTTTGTCTGTGTGTTTGTCTGTTTTCCACTAAACTTTAACCTTGCTCATATCTTTTGATTGGGTTAGGGCTTTGGCTTTCATACCGGTATTTCAAATGTTACAAGGTCTTTCTTTGGATACAAACATCTCGCATCTGACCTCTTGACCTTGAAGTTTGATCCACTTATGCAAGGATTTACCAAATGTTGACTTTGGCCATAACTTTTGAACAGTTGGTGACAGGGCTTTCATACTTCATTTGTTTATTCATTGTGACAAGGCCTTCATACATTTATATGCTAATAATTTTGACCTTGGAGTGTGACCTGCTTTTGAAAAATTTTAACCTTAGCAGTAGCTTTTCGACAGTTAATGGCAGGGCTTTAATAATTTACATGTGTTTTTCAGATGACAAAATCTTTTCTGGACACCTTAAATGTGACCCTTTGGCCTTCCCTTGAAGTTTGACCCATATTTAAAAACTTCAACTTTGGTCATAACCACTGAATGATTAGTGCTTGGGCTTTCATATTTCAACTTAAACCTTCACCAAAAGCTGACATCACAGTGTTTCACAAACACATCTTGCTGACCTTGCAGTTGACCCGTGCACTTTTAAAAATCTTTGACCTTGGTCTTAAACTGCCATACGGAAGAAGGGGAGGGATCAGAACCTTGTCCTTAAAACCACATGCATAAATTATGGCAGCGCAAGCTTTTTATATAAGTTGCTCAACAAATTAATTTTTGATAATACATGTAGTCATGTACATATTTGTAAACAGTTTATTTGTATTAATTATATCAATTTTGTTTGTCAGATTTCCAAAAGGCATTAGTCCAAAGGGAATGAAAGACTGCAGTGTTTTGTGTGTTCCAGTGGTACTCCCTAGCGCAGACACAGTTGGCGTGATGGAGTTCACGAGGGATCAGTTAAAACAACCTTTCTCTGATACTGATGTGCAAGTCACCAATGCAGTAGTTTCATGGATGGCGGCTTGTATACATGAAAACGGCCTCAAAAGAATTCTAGACACGCAACATGAACTCAACGAATTCCTACTAGAAATAACCAAAGGGCTATTCAAGGAGATAACATGTGTTGACAAAGTTGCTAAAACCATTCTTCATTTCACAAAGGATCTTTTAGATGCCGATCGGTGTTCTATGTATGTAATTGATGAGGAACAGTCGAAGTCGTATGTAGCTTATGAAGATACTGGCACAAAGGATGCAGATGGAGAGGAAGTGTATAAGAAAAGGAAAGTCCATGATCTACAAAGCGAAGATAAAATTGCTTGGGAGGTTATCGAGAAAGGAAAGGTAGGAGTATGTCTTACAGAAATGGAGGGCTCTAAGTGTTAATACATGTACATGTACCTGCAAATTGCCCCATAAAAAGGGCCAAAACTTGGCAGAAGCTGCAGACTGTAGCTTTCTTGTGATGACAAAATTCGAAGAAACCCTGATTTGTCAACCAGAAAGCTACAATTCTGCAACTAATTCAGTTGTTGAAGTCAAGAGATTACTTACCATATAATTTTGTAAACACTTTTAATAAAAGTTTCTTTATATTAGCATCCTCACTTGTTAAAATATCATTTAATTACTCTGCAATTTTCCAAAATTCAATTTCATCTGTAAGTCGTTCATATCTTCAAAACAACATTGTGCCCAATGTTTTCCTATGTTTTCTCTCAATTCCAGGTTATTAACATATACAATGCGTACGATGACGAAAGGTTTGAGAAAGAAACAGACAAACAGTCTAGATACCATACTAAACACATTCTTTGTATGCCCATTCATCACAAGGACCAAGTTTTTGGCGTCACCAAAATCATCAATTGTCTTCACCACGACCATTTCACAAAGGCAGACGAGGAATATTTCAACCTCTTTTCCGATTATTGTGCTTTGGCTCTACATTACAGCAGAATTTATAGTTTACTGTACCAGCAACAAAACATTTACAAAGTGGCGGTTGATGTTTTGCAGTATCACATTGTTTGTGCAGAGGACGAGGTGTTATCACTCCAGCGAAAACCTTACATCGAAAACGAGGCTATTCCAGACAATTTTAACTCTATAGATTTCTATGCCTATCACCACGTAGAAAGTCTTCCTCGGCTCTTCATTTACATAACTTCTGATCTTTTTGGGAAAGATACGTTTGAGATGGAGAAACTATGCCGGTTTATCCTCACGGTCCGAAAGAACTATCGTCCTGTCACATATCACAACTGGGAACACGGGTTTCATGTAGCGCATGCGCTTTGGCAGATGATTAAAGCAAACGAAGACATCTTTACAAAATTCGAAAAAATGGCCCTGATAATTGGTGGTATATGCCACGACCTCGATCATAGAGGTTATAACAATGATTTCTTTCAAAAGCTAAATCTTCCTTTGGCATCTTTATATTCCACATCTGTAATGGAACAACATCATTACAAGCAGACCATAACCATTCTCCATACCGAGGGGCAAGATATTTTCTCGTTTCTAAATGGACCACAATACAAGGAAATGTTGGAACTTCTTCGCAATCATATCATTGCAACAGATCTAGCCTTGTATTTCACTAATCAGAAGGAAGCAAGCAAACGTCTGGAGGAGGGAACTTTTGATATGAGTGACCCAACCGCTCGGGCATGTTGTGAAGCCCTTATGATGACCGCTGCTGATCTTTGTGCTGTGGCAAAACCCTGGGACACACAGATAGAAACAGTAGACAGGCTGTATAACGAGTTCTATCAACAAGGAGATGAAGAAAAGAAGCAAGGGTTGACTCCGATTCCCATGATGGATCGTGAAAACAGTAAAGATCAACCAAAGCAACAAATCGGGTTCATCAACTTTATTTGTATGCCATTGTACAATACATTGTCAAAGATCATAAATGGTGTTGAACCTTACGTTGAGGGATGCTTGGTGAACAAAGAAAAGTGGGCAGAGAAATGTGAACAAGGATGCTGAATAAAATCAAACTGTATACATCAATTCTGAATTAGATATTGTTTTTGTTTTATCTCTTTTCCTTTAAACTGAAAATAAATTATTTTTGCAAAAATTAAATAATCTGCGTAATATTTTCTATTCACTTGTCGGACATAGCATACATGGCTATCTGCATGTGTTATGGTCAGTATTGTTTCCTAAAGTCTGTTTTCATTTGCAATTTTCATGCACGACCTAAATTTGGTCATATTTTTAAACACATATAGACGTGTATTGTAATATAAATTAAGATACTAGTATACAGTCATGCATGTACAACATTTTGAAACAAATATAGAAATTTATTTTTAACAAACGTAATTAAATCGACAATGATAAGAAAATTACTAGCATGTAGAATATAGAAATTACAAGAACTTGGGGAAACTGGTGAAACGTTTAGCATCTTCAATTTTCTTCATCGTAAAATCTTGACTGATAAAACATTTTGCATCAATATGATTCGTATTCTAGAAGCAAAGAATTCAAAGAATCAACGTGATCGGTGATTCATCAATCGTGTCTAGGTGGTGTCCATGTCTTGCAAAGCGATCTTCATTATGTTCAAATCCTTCAAGCATACATCTCCCATCAGCAACAAACCCACGATTCTCAATGCCGTGTTTAAGGTTGCCGTCTCGATCAAGGCTTGTGGTCTTCAAGGCGTGAGTGACTTTCCGTTTTCTCCGATGATGTTGCAGAGACCTAGATTTTAATGCCGATTTTAGTGCCACTTTGGTTGGCGTTGAACAGTTTGTACCAATACCTTCGCTAGACTTAATAGGTAATGCCTGTTCTTTCCAATTACTACCGTTCGTGGTTGCTTTGTCAACATCATTGATATTCATGTCGCCTTTTCCTTTGCTAAATTGTTCTCTTTTGGGTATTTCTGTTGATAGGATTTTTTGATTGTCAAGGCCAACTGATTTGTAAGAAGACAAGTCTGGATATTTTTCTTGACCCGTCATACGTTCAACGGTATTTCGCTTCGAGTCAAACACAAATGTTTTGTCTAAGTTGAGGGTGTAATACGTTGGTTCTCTTTGAGGAAGGAACACTTCGTCCGATATATCAGACTTTGCCTTTTCATTTGGATTTGTTTCTTGAAGTTTGAAATTACTCATGACAATTTCGTTGTAGTAATTCGATTCGTCGGTGCTACTCGAAGAATCTTCGAACTCGTTATCGTCTGCTACGCCAAACTTTCTTCGCGCCTCTAGCAATTCCATTGGATGGATTCTTGGCAACTGTGGCATATCAGAACCACATCTTTTCTGTGGTATCTTCCGATTCTCTATATTTCCAAGTGTTTGGAAACAAATACTCGACTCAGAACTAGATTCGCTGTCGTCGCTTTCTGTTTGATCACATCTTTTTGTTTTGTCAGAGGACGAGTGCGATAGGTCAATCCGCGGGAGCGTTATTCCTCTGCCTTGGAAAAAGTGACGTTGTTCAGTTTTGTAGCGCGGAAGGGATCCAAACGATGGAACTCCTTTCCGTTGTTCATTTCGATGGTGCTGGACAGAGTAAAATCCACCATTTTTAAATGTAGGTTTTCCTTTTAGTAGATGAAGCTGATTCCTGCGAAGCGTGAAGTTTTCTTCTGCGTCTTCCGCCTTTGGTTGTTGGAATGGCATTGACATGCAACCAGCATGATGACCACTGACCTTTAACCTTATGTAGAGGTCGCTGTTACAACAAGGCAGTCCACACGTGTGTCCAGGTGGATCATGCGCAAACGGAACGAAGTCAGAGTAGTATACCGTCTTCTCGAAGTCTTTGGGTTCCTTGTGTTTTTGTTTGTGGTTGCGGATCTAAAAAAGAAATATGTTGGAAAAACGTTTTAAAAAGTTTTTAATTAATCTCATAAGAATGTTTAATGATGAATCCATAGCAGAGAATATTAGCTTTATCTGATCCAAACTAGTATGGATGATGTACGTATATAGGGATAACACTACCAGACTTGCTTTGTATCTGACCTTAATTCGATTGTTTTTGTTTCTATATTGACCAGGTTAATGTTTTTGGATTTGTATAATTATATGTCCTGTCGTGGAAACTACCAGACCACTACCTGTCACCAGTATGGAAAATGTAGGTCTGATTCAGCATCTGAAGCAGGTGGGTAGGGTTCATCCTTATCCATGCAAGTTTGGTTTAGGTAAGGCCTACATGTAAGTTCTTTAGGAATGTTCTGCTCCTTTGCTCTGGATGTTGGAACTTACCTACATTTTTTAATGAGTTAACACGTTTTTGGAATAGGTTCATTTCCAAGTTTGTTGTTTAACGTCCCTCTCAAGATTTTTTCTTTCATATGGAGACGCCACTATTTGCCAGTGGAGAGCTGCAAATTTTGACCTATGCTCGGCACTTAGGGTCATAGAGCAGTGAAGGATCTTTTTCGTGACAGCACCCACTGTGACATGTTACATCAGTTTATACGGTCTACTCGTCCAAGAGTGGAATTCGAACTCACAGCGTAAGGATTGACTCCGTACTCGGCGAGTCTAGAGAATATCGGTATTACCACTGCTGCGTGCGGGCTGATTTCCAAGTAAAATAAGTGGTGTTGCAGAGCAAATCACTCTTACACCACTGCAGCGTGCGGGCTGATCCCCGAGTAAAATAAGTCCTAATATTAAAACATTGATCATATGTAAATTATTGTGTTTAATGTAAGTTCTGAGAATCGTGCACAGAAAATTGGGTTTAAATGATACTAGTATATGTGTTTGGTTGAAAACAAAGCTTCCTATATACCCGACGGTCACTAACAAGCCATTGATGTATTGAGGTTCATCGATCAGAGTGACATGGACTAATGACATCAATTCCTTTAGAAATTTGTCAAGGTTAGATACATCTGCAAGGTTACATTTTAGGCTACGACCGCTTTGAATCTACATGTAACCTGACTGGATTTGTACGACAATCAGAATCAGATCGAGTGTCGCTCTATAACATATATAATCAATAGGAAAAGTAGCACGTGGATTTGAAAATTTACAAAAGGCAGCAATAAATGTACAAAGGAAAAGTAGTACTTGGATTTGCAAACTTTGCAACAGGCAGCAATAAAAAGAATTATATAGTGTGCTTAGTGTAGTCTACTGCTGTGCCAAGTTATATTGAAATCAGACCAAAACTGTAGCATTTTGAAAAATTGTTTACAGACTTGTGTGCCAAGTTATATTGAAATTAGACAGTCGGACACCTTACTGTCGCATACGCTGTTCTGGTCTCTGACCAGTAGAGCTAAAAATTATGCAGTTTGCCAAGGACTCTAGTCTTAAAAATAAATTCATCTTTTCTCCTAGAAATTAAGGAGTAAAAAGATGGAGGTCAAAGTATACTAAATTTCATGGATTTGCTTTTTAGGCACGAGAGTTTTTAAGATACCCGTGTTCTCATGATAAAATCATGCAAACAATCAGCCTGTTACAAGTCCGATATTAAAATCATGAATACAATGTCCCCGAGTGAAAAGCAGGATGAGAAATGAGGATAGCACTAGTCCCCCACAAATCTCAATAAAATTTTAGGTTATATATTCAGCACTTACTGTTTGCCCCCTTAAATTTGCATTTCGTCATAGGGCAGGGAAATTAAATACAAAGCATCTCGTTTCCCCTTTTTCATAGAAACAACTGCAATTTTAGAAGATGCTTTCACAACACAAGATGAAATCAGTTAGATCTTTCCTAATTTCTCGGCAATTCTCATTGTGTTCATGTACAAGGACAGTGAATAGCAAAAACCAAAACCATTTCTTTTTTAAGATTTATACTTTTAATTAATATAAATACAACTTTCTTGCACAACTTCTAAAAATATATAATAATGATGAATGAATTCTAAAAATGAAATGAATATGAAATGTTCACAATAAAAAAAAGTTGAAATACTAAAAGTTTATAGAACATTTTGAAATACAAACAGTCATGCAATATAAAGAAGACAACTGGGATATTTTGTTTTCTTCGTAACAGTGCTATCAATGGAATTCATACATATGTTCTGAAATATGGCAGTGCTTTCATAGCTTTACATTCAATTTACTCTAGAGGAAACTATCTTTGGTAATATCTTTGCCTATACATAAACAGTCAAGAAGCCAAATGTATTTGAAAATAAACAAAACTTGATATCTGAAAATAAACAAAACTTGGTTATCTATAATGTGTGAGTTTGACTCTATTTTAGTGGGCACTTTTTCTCTCTCTCTCTCCCTCCCTCTTTCTCTCAGCACTAGTCTTCCATTACAATCTGTTTTTCAGGACATTCCTCTTCTATTACATCTCTCTCATTTTCTCTTTATCTCTAAACACATGCAACAAACATCTACAAAACTTTCCACTTTTTCCTAGAATACATAGCAGAATGAATGCCAAGCAATCAAAATAGTTTTGTGTATCAGACTTTTTTGAACAGATTTAATCAAAACAAAAAAAAATCATTACTTTTTTAAAAATCTCTTTAAAACATCTAGATAAAATACTTTTCAATTCTGTAATTCAAGCAACATTTAATCTATGAACTATGGCAAGGTTAAGCAACTCTGAGTATTTAAAAATAAGTAGTATAAAAAATAGGAAGTTTTCCAATCCATCTGCTTCACATACTCTCTTTTACAACAATTCTCATTCATTCAAACTCAGATTGAGCTATCAAACATCCCTAGTTGCCATAGCAATAATGCAGTATGAAAAATATGTCAATGATCATGCAATACTGCACTTCCATACTGAATATAGTTATGGTACAATGATGTACACAGTTTATGTTTTGTGAAGCACCATATTTTTTTTTTTCTTGCTTTTGCTTTCTACTTGTACAGAAAGTTCTGTGCTTAAATGCACACCTCTCCTTTAGTTTTCATACGAAATAATTCACAATCTTTTCCTGTATATACACAAATAAGATTTCCTTAAAGCGAGATCATACAGCATATATATCACTTGGACATATCTTATGATTGCACTGGGTTATATTGTATAAGTCTGTTTATACATGCAGGATACATCCATAGTGTCAGAAAGGGAACAAAAA